GCTACACATGATTGATATCTTTCTCACGCAGTCATGGACACCGCAATTGTCGTGAAAGCTAGCCGAAAAAAACAGAAGCTTCGTGTAAAAATTACTCAAGCGTCATGGCAACCAGTCAAATAAGTAAAGTAATGATAGTATTGATGCAAATGGAAAAGGTATGAAGTACAAGAAATTTATTTTCTTTAGTGCTGCATACATGACATGTAATAATATAGAATATCATCCTAGGAATCTTGCTCGTAAAATGTATCTGGTGACATATAAGGCACTTCAGATAATTCCTTTCGAGTAAATATTTGGGTCAGCATCACGGTGATAGCGGCTTTGAAAGTAGCCTTAAATAGGTCGATAATATACTAGCACTTTTCCTCTTGACTGACGGTAGGGAATTATGTCCTCACCTCGGTTCTGAGTCATGGTATTGGAATGGCTTCGCTGTGCGTATACATTCACATGCAAAGTACATAAGGGTCCACAAAAAAAAACAAATGTTGATACTGCAGGGCTGAACACACGATCCGATTTGTTCTTGCATTGCCATTTAGGCTGGTCTTGCGCTGCTCTATAGTTAGTAAAAGGTACCGACATTATATCCGGCTAGGTAAATATGGCTAGACCTGTAGCGAGCGATGGTCCCAACATAAATGTGATTGTTAACCGTAATTGAACAATATTATTGCTGTAAATACAATCGCAGATGTCGCGCAGAACAGTGTCTGTCGTGAACATTTTGTAGGTAGCATGACAATGACGCGAATAATCTAGACTAGTATAACCATACAGACCAGTAAAGACATACCGACTAGTTAATCAATTAAACGATTCTCTATACTATATTGTCGGATGGCGGGGCAATGAGCGATTTGCATTGTGTTCACCTACAAACAAATGACGTGTGGGAGCAAGCATCTATACCACCAATGTGCACGTTTTGTATGGAGAAAATAAATCTTATATACGAGATAACGAGACAATGGTCAAAGACGGGCCTTATTTCACATCATTGAGGTAAAAACAGCGAGAGAAAGCAACTTTTCGTTACCAAAACACAACAGTGTATAGCTAATTACAACTGACTACGACATTGTCAAGCGTGGTTTGTCTGCCCATAGTTCACAACAAATTTCAATAAAATTCCTCTCTATTGCAGATATATCGACATGACAGCGCTACGCTCAAAACTTTGCTCATCTCTCGCGACAATGCTAGTAGAGAGATTGGGTTGCTTTAATACACTAAAAAATTTGACCGATACGAGATCGTCATTAGAAATAACCCAAATTACGATTCTTTTGTACAGTGGCAAGCAATGCCGACAAATCAAAATTCGAAGGTACACAGAGAGAATGATGACTTGAGAATAGCATTAAAGCCACCAAAAACATATTTAGGAGTAGTACTAGTAGTTTAAGTACTAGTAGTACAGTCAACCCTCTCTATAAGAGACTCTATATAATAGACACCCTCTATATAAGGGTCACAGAGTCGCCGAACATTTCGAACTATATAGGAATTTGTATAACGTTCTCTTTATAAGCGAGCAAGACATAAGAAACGAAAAACAATTGCCCATTTGAGGTGTAAACTCTCTTTATATGACTCACTACCCCTATTTCTGATGCTGAAAGAGATACGTGGCATATGATGTGACAGTTGTTCTAGCCGAAGATTTGCCATGAATCTATTCAGCAACGTCATAGAACCACAGACATGACCTAGGGAAAGACATATAGCATGTCATTATAGGCGAGCTTATAAGGCCCATATTACTGATGACGCCATGGCGATAGATACAGAAGAAGAAATGTAATAACTTCGTAAGGCGATAGATAGGGAGAAATAAAATTTAATTTCGTAAGTACTCGACCACACCACTGATACAACACGTCCACCCAAGAATAGCAAGCCCGTGCAACCAATGAGTTCAACAAAACGAGTATCCATCGCTCTAGAGCAGAAGTACGAGGTCTTTCAACTCTGCAATGAACGCCCAAACATCGGCTTTTACGAAGTACAGGCTTATGTGAGCATTCAGTTCGAGCAAAGCATTAGTAAATAAACGACGCATCGGCTCATGACCATGAAAGAAATCGACTTTGAGGTCTTTCACCCTAATGTAAAAAGAAACGACGTTTAAAGCATCCTGAGTTCGAGAATAAGCTGCTGAAATTCGTTCTCGAGTGTGAGTGTGACGGGAAAGCTGAAGATCTGGTCCTGGAGAAAGCATTCCGACTACGAGTGAGCCTTGATATCGAAGATCACGATCTCAAGCTTTCCAAAGGCTGGCTCCAAAATTTCAAGAAGCGGAATATCATCAAAAGCCGCGCGTCGATAGGCGAGAACGGGAGATTATGTATCGAGGATGTGCAAGCAGCAAAGTCTGATATTCGATCTCTGATTGAACGATATTCTCCGAGTGATGTGTTTAATTTTGATGAGGCAGCATTATTTTACGACTTGCCACCGAACAAATCCCTATTCACGGTCCGAAACAACGGAAAGAAGAGGGTAAAGTCACGCGTAACAGTTGCTATGTGCTGCAACGCAAGTGGTTGTGAAAAGCTGAACACCATGATCATCGGGAAGTTCAAAAATCCAAGGTGCTCTAAGGGTGTGGAGACCGAGAAGTGTGGCATCGTATACGCTGCGAACTCAAACGCCTGGATGACTGTAATTATCTTTGATTAGTGGCTGCATCAATTTAATCTTCGAATGCATGATCGCAAAGTCCTGCTATTTCTCGATAATACTTCCAGTCACATGGTCCAACGAGAACTCAACAACGTCAATGTGGTATTTTTTTCGCCTAGCATGACTTCCACTATCCAGCCGCTCGATGCAGGTACGCATTAATCTCATAATTCATATACGTGCGGCTTGAAGACTACATTAATCTCCTTACCTACTTATATGTTATATAGGTATCATCCGATCGTTTAAAGCTCGCTACACGAAAGTTCATATGCGATGGCGCATGGATCTGATCGAAACAAACATGGAACGCAGACCTAGATTTCCTAGAAGCCATTGAGTTTGCAGTTGAGAGCTGAAACAGTATTGCCGGGGAGATCATTCGAAGTTGCTGGATCAAGAGTGGTATCACCAAAGCACCACAGGTTGAGGATTTGCGTGCACAAAACGACTATCGACAGTCCAGCCTCGCCTTCCAACAATACTGCTGCGATCTGGCTGATATGTTTCATACGCTTAGTGTAGCCATTAGCGTGAATGATTATGTCGAAATCAAGGACCACGAGCAGATTCACGAAAAACAAGAAGCTCTGATTGAAGCAGAAGTGGAGCCCGCGGAAGTCGAGAGAGACGAAGATCAAGCGCCTGTCAGTGCAAAAGAAGCACTAAAGTGCTGCCTGCTTTTTCGTTCGTGCTTCATGCGCTCAAATGAGGACACGCGAATTATACAGTCAGATCTGGATAAGATGTCGTCGGTTATATCGCAAGAACCGGCACGCTAGGGCAAAACAGCTCGACATGAGAGACTTCATTTGGTAGAAAAACGCTACATTTCATCATAATTGGCGCGTCATGCTTTGAAAAATATCATGCAACTTCTTCCTTTCAGATTTCTTATAAGAGACTTTTATAAGACACGCTGTAAAAATTGGGCGCAAAGTTTTTTTTATAGAGAGGGATGAGTGGAGTAGGACTGTAGTATTAGTTTCGTAGTAGAAAAGTGGTGCTAATAGTAAAACCACGTGTGAGTTCAGGCCTGTTAGCAACTCATCAACTTAGTAAGATTTTTATCCGAAACTATTTATTCCATCCTCATCGTTGTGCAACTTGATCGACGGACACATATTATGTTAAGTATGTCGCACACCACCCAAACTGTAACTTTTATTTCATCAATCAAATTTGAATCGGTGCAATATTTATTTTTTTCACCCTTTTCGCCAGCGACACGCCTATCCCAAAGCTCTTGTCGCACTGCACTGACGTCTTTTGCACGTTTCCAACACCAATCAAGGTACTAATCAGTCAACAATCACCAACATTCTGCGCCCCAACAAATAGATACGGCGGCACAGGTTATGAGAATTGTTGCTGTGCCCGCAGTGTCATCTATAATCAATGTGGTTTCAAGAGCCGAGAAGGACCTTTGGAAGAGACTATGACTACGAGCGGTCATTACATCATTCTGCCCTAGTTTCCATGGCTAATTGCCCTTCATCGAAATGTTCCGGGAAGAATCGAAATGTCATACTCAAAAATATTGCGACTGCGCGTTCAAAGTCTATCAGCAGATGGTCCCAAAATTCCTTACATCCGTCTCGCTCGTCATCATCCGCTGCCATGCTCGCAAGTGCGACGGTACGTGAACGTATATCGCAAGATTCTGACTAGGAAGGCCGCCGAAGACGTCGTAAAAAAGTATTGATCGCATCGTCAGTCCCGACGTCTATTTTATATCGGATACGAACGTGTTTGCTGCTGCCAACTTTTTTGCTTTGCAATTGGTGTGGCAAAACGTGATGGGCTTTGATGGATTTAAATGATTGCCTGCGTCATTTACAGTAAATAGCGGGTATAGACAGGCAAAACAATGCCGTTTAGGGTGCAGACAGCCATTTTTGCACTTTTCAGACTGCTGAAATGGTACTTTTACGTCAGTTCGTCTACTTAATAATTGGGTTGCAGAAGAAAATTGCCATTAAAATCGAAAGAAAAGTCTACGCGGGGATTTCTGAGGCGGCCAAATGTGGCTCGCCGCGAGCTAAAACTGACGAAGTTCTTCGAGCTTTAGGGTCCTATGACTTCGCGGAAATTTTGTCAACTTATAATCCGAGACTATAGAAACAAAGCTAGTGACACACTCGAGCCATCGATGGTCTTAGATTTGTTTTAGAAACGAAGTATAGAGTAGGGGGTAGCTGAGTGAGTAATTGGGATCGGAAATTGTGACAGGCAATAGATGGGGCACACGATACGCACTCGATCACCCAACACAAAATTCACAAAATTGCACAAAAGACGTCACAATGACCGAACCGCGCGCGCAAACATCGGTCTCGCGTCTCGAGTGGCAGCAGCGCCATACGCAGGCGCTGCGGGACACGGCCGAGTCGCTGCAGGTCGCAAGAGCAACAGCGCATACGCTCAGCGTGCAGTCGGAGCAGATCGGACGCAGCGAGCGCATGCTGGACGAGACGCAGGCAGCGGTGGACGTCTCGAAGCGCGTTCTCCGAGGCCTGACGTGGTCTGGTTGGCTGTATAATAAGATATCCACTGTACCGCCACGTTCGAACAATAACGGATTGGTAGAGGTACGTTGACGCAACGTTCTTTGATGTAGTTGTTGCTGGGCTGGCTATCTTTTTTTGTATGGATTAGAACTTTTGTACGAAATGTACTCATTGGTTTGTTCGTACTAAAAACAATTATGCTATCTATTGCCACTTGTTCGATTGTAGATTGCAATGGGTTTTATATGCCCCGAGTGTAAAGTCACGTTTGAATCTTCGGAGCATTTGTGGATGCACTACAGTAGTGTTCACGAGAGAAAAAGTGGTGAAGAACGACCAATGCATAGTGCTCGACAAAGGAGCAAAGAACAGGTTCAGCAAGTGCACGAACAGAGTCAAGACACTGATGATTTGGTTCGTGATATGCACGACCGATTCCTTCGCGATCTGGAACCGCAGATCATGGAATTGAAAGAGCAGTCGCTGGCACTAGGAAGTGCGTTAGACGCGCAGAATGAACAGCTCGACCGAATGGACTCGAAGATTGGACGGGTCCATCATGATCTGAAAAAAGTGGGCATTCAGGCAAACAGGATTGCAGGAAAAAAGACTCCCGTGGTCTTTCGCTTTCGTTGTGCATTACAGGAGACACAAAGTGGAAAGTTCTTACGAGACGTAGATGGAGAGGCACTGCTAGGGTATGTCAAGCAGCAAAGGATTTGCAATTGCATGCTACTGATTGATTGTTCATTTGTATGTGTGTCTAGAGCCGACGTGGTAGTGGACGGCTGTGCATTTCGTGCGTACATGCTGGGCGACGACAGCGATGTTTGGGGCTTCCAGAGCGAAAAGTCGAGCCATTTCTTAGGTATCAATCGGTACGGATATCTGAAAGTGCGAGGAGCGGACATGAACTCGTACGAGCAGTTTCTCGTGGAATGCAAGTCGACTACTCCTCTCTTTTCACTGTCTAGCTATTTTGGACTTGGAGGTTGGATTGCCGTGAAGGGGTCAGCGGACAGCAAGACCCTCACTATTATTCGAGGAACGCCTGAGAATAAACAGGCGGCTGCATTGTTCAAAATTGTACGCATGGAGGAGAACATGAAGAAGGTGAGGCAGAAATAAAGACGATCGGGTGTTTTGAGCATTGCAATCACCGATGCGGGGCTGCCAGTATTGGCTTGACAATGTGAAGTTGTGACGCGCAGTATCCGTATGGTCAATTGACCATAACTGTTTGAGCAAGCGGTGCCACGAAAGCTGTCGACAGTGTAACGGCTTCATTTGCTCGCTCACCGAGTATAAGGTGCTGCTTCACGCATTTGATCTAGCAGTCAACAAACGGGGCGTGCGTTGTATACTCACACGCACGCGCAAAGTGAGCAGAGCCATTTGCTGACTGGTGCCATTTGTTGACTGGCGGTGCATTCCGTGAAGCTGCAAGCTGAGCATGGTATATTTGACAACTGGATACGCTGGTTTGCATACAACCTGTCGTCATTCTCTCGATTTGAAAAGGGTTTCGATGTGAGAGCTCGACAATACGTTTTGTCGATGTACGAAAATTGATGGCAGCGCAAGTGGGGTCCGCGAAGGAGTGCGCCGAGGCTGACAACAACGAAACTGACCTGCGCCATTTTCTCGAGCAAATGGTGGCTGTTGTGGTATCGCTGACTTCGACGCTACGAGTGCTGACAATCATGCGTATGTTTTTTCGTGGAGATGCACAACCTCGGACCATTTGCCTTGCATGGAGCGCAACGAATAATGACTGGGTACCGCCAGTCGTGTTTGCGCATCAGCTGTCTTGCCCGCAACCATACCGGATCTGGAGAATAAATTTGCGTCGTCTTCATGCAGCAGAAGTACTCCAACGCAAAGTGGTGAAAGATGCGAAGGTTACATGGCTGCCACATCATTTTACGTGCGCAAAACCTGTAGAGAAAGTGCCGTCTTGAGGTCACGTTGTCATTCTGTTCGGCGTTGACTGACGCCAATGTAACTAGCACGAGCTGCTGACAGGCGGTTTCGGTGAAAGCTGTACCTACATTGCAGCGCTCTTTGTTCTCGTATAGCTTTGTCGCAAGCGGCAGTGATGACCATGTGGACAAGTGCACTCATCAAGCATGCTGCAGATAGCAGGTGATGCAGCGCAGTCAGATGCTCAATGTTTGCAACTTATCAAGACAACTTTGCTTGCTCCGGTTCGTTTGAGGGGCGATGCAAGAGCGTCGCTTGATGTGTACCGTGTGCTTGAGGCGTATATATTCGATGCCGGCTACAAATGGGAGACGAATTGTGGGAACGCTGCTGACGATGCTGATGCGAGCCACAACTTGTACGATAAAGTGGTGAAAATGAAACGTATCAGAGAACTACGTACGGGGTTTCGCGGGCCACCCTGCCGCGTCGGCGGAGCGGATGCGATCAATTAAGCCGGGACCTTCGATGAGGCTGCAGCCTTATCCTCGATTGCGAGCTCTTCCCTTACTGGATGACACTGAGACTCAGCACACGCAGCTACCCGGCACCTGTGTTTGTGCGTTTCAGGCTCGCAAAACTCGTGCCGACGACAAAGCGCTAATCAAGTCACTATTCACGCTACTTCTCATAACTGCAAAACTGAGACACGCCCACAATGTATTATCCGATAAGGCGACACATGATGCAATTGATCGCGGTGGCACCTTGCAGACTTTGACGGCTCCGCCCCCTGGCTGTTGTTCCGGTCTTGATGTGACGAGACAGGAAGTGCGGCTTGGGTTTCGCCGTCTTGCATCAACCTCGTCAACGCGGCTTCGTACATGATGGTAGTGGACAAGGGTGGTCAGTCTGCAAGCGTGACAATCTGCTCATGATTGAGCTACGCACATTGTAGTGCAGTCCACCAACGGTGTGCTCATGATTGACATCGTGTTGTTATTGCATCTTGCCAATACGCATATAGATGCGCAAGACGCTCTGATGTTTCTCACGCACGACAAGTTCGATTGGCCGCAACTTACGAGTGGCATCATTATCAGAGCTACCATTCAAATGTCGTATGATGACAGTGACCGCTTGCATTTGTCGTATCTTCATGGAAAGGAAGTCATCTCATCCATCACACAATTCCAAATTGTCAAGCAAGCCAAGCAGATGACAAGTTTGCATGGACATGGTGCTTCAGCTGATTGCGTTGGACTTAGTGCGCTGCCGAACCGTCCGATATTCTACCAACACCCGCTTTCGTGACAACTGGCGACGTCCAGTGGCCAACCGCTTTATAATCTGCAACTTCTGATGGACGCTCTATCCGTTGTCCATACAACCTGGAGCTCCGTTCGTGCTAGCGGTGACTTGCCTTCATACTCGCTGATTGTTACCAAAGTGCGGACCAAATGGGTCGCGAATCAGCATCCCGCAATGTCGGTGTATACCCTGCCTGGCCTGACAAGATGGCCCATTGTCAACGCACGGCCATGCGCGACGTGCCCACTTAACATTGCTGTGCTTGCCAACTGGCTTCTAGACGTGGCCACTTCATGCAAATGGGTGCGTTCCTGACAGTGACCACTGTCGATGAATGACGATCAGCATTGCTTTCAGCGCTAGTAGCAGCTGCTCGAACCCAAGAGATCCGGCTGCAAGTATTCGTGCTGCTCGGAGCCTTCTGCTTCCCATTCACTTTCGCTGACCCACTGATCATCGGCGCTGGAGTTCTCAACCTGCTTGACACCACGGGAGTCTCCAGTCGGTATTGAACACGGCAACACGACAATCCCAGCGTCTCGTTCGCCTTCAAGTACACGATTTCGGCCCCGCATCACTGACTTTCCAGCTTCGATGACGCACAATCGTCACATGCTGACGAAATCGAGAAAAAGCGTCCCACAGGACATCGCGATCGAAGAAAGATATCTTCTCTCCCAATCAATACGCAAAACAACGACCGATTGCGTCGTTCCAAGTGCTGTGGTCTCGCTCGTCTCGAGATTCGATCGACGACTCACTGTCGAGTCGCTCGACTGTGCGTATAAAGTCCGTCGAAAGTCGCTCAATCGGTCGGTCGCACACGCACTTTTCCACGCCAATCGTTTCCCATTGCAATGTGCCGTTCCACACAGTGGTGACCACAATGACCGACTTGGTCGTTTGCCCCGCGCGCACGGCTTTGCACGGCTCGTGCCATTGAGACCGTCCGTCGAGCGTTTGTTCGCGTTTGTTCGTGTCTGTCTGTGTCTGTATGTGTGTCTGTACGTGTCTGTGTGTGTGTGTGTGCGTTCTTTTTGCTCCATGCAAAAAGGACCGACGAGGAGTCAGTCGCACGTGACGGGACCTGCTCTTGTCCTGTGGCCCGTTTGGACGCTACTGTCGTGGGCAGCGCAAGCGCACCTGAACAGCATCTACTTCAACTGAGGCAGCAGTTGCTTTCTATAAAACGTCGACCGTCGCACGCGCGCGCTCGCTGACGTTGTTTGCGACAAGAGTGATTGTCGTTTCGCTAGTTGCAGACCAGGTCTTGTTTATGGCGTGTTGTTGTACACAACACGTGCCGATCCACACGTCCAGCACAAAAAGACGGTAGACAACTAACGGACTGTCGACAGTCAGTTGGTAGTCGTAGCAGTGGTAGTACAGTATGGGGGCGGGCGCTGACCGGTCCGTCAGTAAGTCGTTTGCTGCTGCTTTTCTTTTTTCGCTCGTCGAGACGTGGCGACGCGAGGCTAGCGCCACCAGCGCGATTCGCCCCGTCTCTGCGCAGCTGACTGCCTGCCCCGCGGTCGACACGCTGGATCTCGCGCGAGGTAATGGACCAATCAACGACTGCCCGGCCGGCCGTCGTTCTATGCCGTGTGTTGCTGGCTCCGAGTGTCGTACCCAAAAACAAGACAGCAGCGCGCGCGGGGGGGAGGGGGTATTATTCCCTCGTGCGACCGACTGACGCTGTCGCTGACGTTGTCGGTAATGGAGCGGTTATCGTCCCGTCTGGCGCGAATCTGCGACGTGTGTGCGGCCTCGGGAGAGGCGCCTCGCCCTTTGGCTTGAATTTCCGCCAATCACCATCGCGTCCGTGACTAGGGCTACCGAGCATACCCCCACACTGTCTCGAGTCGCGCCACGGCGTCTCCGTGTTTTTGGCCACTCGGAGCGCAACACTCGCTCTTCCCTCGCCTTCAGCAGCCGCAGCGCTCGACGACCGACGGAGGTGACTGTCAATCTGTCGCTCTGTCTGTCTGTCTCTCTGTCTGTCGATCTGTCGATCTGTCTGTCGGTCCGTCGATCTATCTGTCTGTCTGTCTGTCTGTCTGTCTGTCTTGTCCACCCGCTCGTCCGGTCGGTCGGTCGGTCGGTCGTCCGTCCGTCTCATTGTCTCTACGTGCGGGGAAAACGGAATGTTTGTTGCGCCCTCGGACGACGCAACAGTCTCCTCCTCCTCTTCCTCTTCTTCTGCGTCTTCGTCTCCGCCGTCGTCCATGAGCCACGAAGAGCTCTTGGCGCACCAGCTCGACCTGCACCACAAGATCCAGCAGCAGATGCAGCTGCAGATGGAGATGAGCATGCAATTAGGGGCGCGCCAGTCGCTCGCCAAGGTCGAGCCGGACCTCGGCGACAGTGTCTTTGACATGCTGGACGACCTGATTATGATCCCGTCGGGCGCGATTGCCTCGTCCGAGCGCGGGTCGCTGTCGAAGCAAGCGCGGGAGAAGGCCAGGGGCACGACGGGTGAGGACGAGGACGAAGATGGGACAGACGACAAGCGCTTGTCCGGTGCAATGGGGTCGGGCAGCGTGAGCAGCAGTCGCGACAGCCTCGCCGATATTCTCGAGTCTCTGGACATGGACCTGGATGTAGACGACGACCATGACCGCGACCGGGACGACGCAGACGGAGATAATGACGATACGCTGTCGTGTGGCAGTGGACGGTCGAAAGCGTCTGGGAACAGTGGCACGCTAGACGAAGGAGACTTGGACGATTTGCGTCTGGAGCTGGACAACCTCGACCTCGACTCCGATGTCCACTATGGCTCGGACCAAAGCTCGAGCACGGACAAAGCAGACAAGAGCGAAGCAATGAATGAACGGGCGCCACCAGCTGCTGAAGAAGAGTTTGTGCACTTGCGCCGGTCGTCGCTGGACCTGCTCGCGTCGATGCGAAACAGTACATCGGGTATGATGAATCACAACGTGACGGCCAATATGTGTACGTTGATATGGGAAGGAGGGTTGCTGGGACTGAGGCTGCGGCATTCGCAGTCGCAATCGATGCCAGCCGTGTCCAAGATCACGGGCAAGAGCTCGATTTTCGGCATCCACCTTGTCGACGTTGGCGACTTGTTGTTGCAGATTGGACATCAAAGCACACGGGATATGGAGTTTGACGACGCGATCAGGTACTTGAAAGAGGTTGCAAAGCCTTGTCGACTCGTTTTCCGACGGCTAATGGCCGACCCGATGGCAGTAAAGCCAGTACAACCAAAGGTGATGAGCACGATTGGGTTGAAGCTTGCCGCCAAGTTCGAAGAACTGACGGCAGCGGAGAATGAGAAGTATCCGCCGCAACCAGCTGTGAAGCTCGAGTCCAAGTACGAGATTAAGTGGCTCGATGGACCGCTCGGGATCAGTCTTATTGCGAGTAAAGACATACCGTACCCTCTAGTGACGCGCATTACGGGAAAGAACCGCTCGCCGCAGGTCCAGGACGTTCAGCCAGGGCACTACCTGGTACAGATTGGCAACTACAGCACTACCGATGGAAATTTTAACACGGCGATCAAGTTTTTGCAAAAGGTGCAGAAGCCAGTGTCGCTATTTTTTTGCCCGGGCAACAAGAAGATGTCGTCTCGACCGGATCCTACCGATGATGAGTATGACCACATTTGGGAAAAGAAGCAGCCGCTGTGTTTTACAGTCCGGCCAAATGCTGCTGGTCACATGGTTGTAGCAGACTTGGGTAGCGCTAAATCCATAAAGGTGAAGATCAAGGGTGCGCCGAATAATGTGGCAGCGTTTGTGAGCTCAGGGGACCGCATCGTGTGGATCAATGACGAAAGCGTGAAAGACCTGAGTTTCCACGAATCGTTGCTCAAGCTGCGCACAGCCAAGCGTCCACTGGTCATTCGGTTCAAGAAGGGCTCTCCCGAACACGCGATCGCTGGTTTGACGTCCGCTAGCATACAGTCTGGACCCAAGTTCGCAGCTTTGACGCCATCACTGGCATCATCTTCCGTATCGTCGTCGATGTCCTCCACCTCATCGTCGCTATCACTTTCTTCTACCACTTCGTCGTCCTCTGCGAGGGAAAATGTAGCGCTTGCAACCGAGACATCACCTCCCAAGTCTGTGCAGCCACCAGCAGTTCCACTTCCACCTCGAAGCTTCATGAATCCGCTGAAAAAGATGAGCATAGCTCTTGGCAATCACTCAAAAGACAATGCTCATACTATGTCGAGCGCGAAAATGCAGAACGAGCACAGGAAATACCAGGATAAACAGGCACATCAGCCGCCGCCGCCACCACAGCAACAGCATCAGCAGCAACAGTTGCAGCCGCATGCAGCCCCAGAAGCGTCTCAAAGCAGATATCGAGGCCACGCCGATCAGGAAGCAAAACGATCGGCTCATGATGCGAGACAAGTGAATACACCGCCATCCACTGCACAAAGAAATTCAGCACAGGGTTCAAGAGGAGGCTACCTCACTACTGCGTCTGATGTGGTGCTCACGAGTAAGGACCCATCTCCTCGATCGGCGTCTGGTTCAGACCACATTAGTGGAGTTCGGAACGACACGCATTATCGCGCTGCGGATACACAGAATAAAGCACGCAACCTGGAGCAGGGACTGCGCAAATCGCCACTGGTAAAGTCTGTTAACGACCCGATTGACAGCGACACGCCGTTGAAACCGCTTTCACAGAGCGGTCATCACCCCGGTTCCTTGCCTCACATATTGAGTAGCGAAGCCAGCAGCTCAATGGAAAAGGAACGGGCGATGGATAACGACGTATACGAGGTCGTGTGGCCTGAGGGCACGGCTCTTGGTCTGACGCTGCGAGTGCATCCGACGACGAGATTTCCCGTGGTGGCTCGCGTGACTGGCACTAGCAACCTCAAGAACATTGAGCATGTGTCACCGGGGGACATTTTGTTTGCGGCCAACAACATGAACATTGTGCCGCAGCCAAAGTTCAAGCAGACTCTCGAGAACTTGTCACGTTTGCCAAAGCCTGCAGTGTTGCGCTTCCGGCGTTCATCACCTGCGGCATATGCGGCAGGACGGGCGGAGGAGACGGATCAGACGCTGCTGCGTGGACCGCCGTTGAATGACCGCGAGTATGAGCTCGTTTGGCGAGAGAATGCCAACCTCGGGCTTGTGTTTAGCTCGGATGCGGACGTGCCAAAGGTGACGAAGGTGGACATGGACTCGGGTGGGCCCATGCTGCACAAGGTGTCGGTTGGAGACGTGTTGACGTGGATTGGGCCCATGGAGATCAGCGGGTCATCTTTTCACTCGTCCATGGCGACACTGCGCGCCGTCAAGCGGCCTGTCGTGTTACGCTTTTACAAACGTCGGACATGATGCAAGGCTGCTACTACTGCCATGTGATTAACTCATTTGGGCTACGAGGTCGTAAAGTTGGAGGACGTGAATCGTAGTCGCTAAATACCAACCAAGGAAGGGACTCCAAGGATGCGAACGCAGCAACTGAAACATGAGGAGTGTAAGCGAGGCTTCGACCAGCTGACCAGCTGGATATGGACAGCGTTGTTTGTTGCACCCGTCTATTGTTTTCATTGTCTTTTTCGGAAATACATACGCAGCTAGCTGAACGCAACCGCAACAAAACTGGCTTGACGTGCGTGCTGATCCAAATGTAATACCAGGCGTGTGCTTATGCGTGTGCTTATCGTATCTGCTTCCTGCTATTTTTCGCAACTAACTACTACCTTGTCTAGTGTACACATCATGTCAGCAGCCTGCAGCTATGTAGACCTCTTGTCCACTGCACGTCCGACAAGTGCAAACGAGAGACGCGTGACTGTCAAAACATGCCACCACGAGGGGAATAGATGCAGCGCTGCTCAAACTTGGCAGCCAGGGCCTGTTTCTTGGTCAGAATCTCGTTCCGCGAGTTCTTCAAGTCCGTGGACACGTCCGTCACATTGATCGCGTCCATGAAATTCGCCAGCAGCGGCGCTTTCACGTTCGACGACGGGACACTGACGCCGCAGGCCCCGGACGGTACCAAAAAGTCTTCAATGGCAAACGCGTAGTGGTGGGCCACGGCAAAGCCGAGCATTTCAACACAAATGACAAAGTCATTGAGCGCCGAGGCAATTTTCTGCGCGTCCCAGCAGTCTGGACACCCAATGTGCCACTTGGCCGAGATCACGCCCACGCTCACCAGCATACTAATCATCACGGACTGCCAGTAGGTGAAGAAAATAATGGCCTTGATCGCAAGGAACTTGGGCCACGGTCGCATGGGCTGCAGCTCTTCGTGCGCGCCGTGGAAGAAAAGGAGCAGACAATAGAGCGCCCAGGTCTGCGAGAGACTCAGAATCAGGCACACGTAGCCATAGCTCACGCATGGGTTCATGAGCTCGCCTTCGCCGTAGACACCGGCTAAGCTCGTAACGAGCATGACAATGCTCATCAAGAGCTTAATGGGAATGTACTGCAAGATGCCGACGGTCGTCTGCTGCAGGAACTTGCCGCCCATGGACCACGGCCGGACACAGCAAAAGGGGAACACGTGCGTCATGGGCGGCTTCGACCGCATCGTGCCCGCGAGCACCGACGGGCCGCCGAGGTACTCGACGAGAAAGCAGTGGAACGAGTAGAGCGCAAACGCCTCGTAGAGGTCGCGCACGGTCTCGAACAGGAGCTTCGAGTCGTTGAACACGAGCGCCATGTACGACGTGAGCGCGTAGATGGGGACCATGAGCAGAATGCGGATCACGTGCTTGCGGATGCGCGCGGACGGGTTGTAGAGCAGCTGCGTCCAGATGAGCCATCCCGAGAGGACGATCGACAGGAGCGTAAAGGCGCCCGAGATGGCGTACGCGAGCGTCTGGAGCTGCATGCGGCGGCGGGCGAGCAGGTCAGGTGCCGCGGCCGTGCGGGAGATGGCGGGCAGGAAGTAGGGTGGACCACGTGAAGCGAGGCACGTAACCCCGCGAGATGGCGGCTACAGTTGGGTGGAATGTGTCGTATGGGGGGGAATATGGGTGGGTGGGTGGGTTATTTGTCGATGGTTGAGATTGGGTACGGGTGGGTACGGGTGGGGTGGGTGGCAACAGGATACGTGGGGGTACACTTGTTGACGCCGGCCAGATAGAAACGTTTCTTAATCCGAGCGCTGGTCGCCACGCTCTCGCCCTCGCGTGCGATACATCTGTGCGAGTCATGGCCGAGCTTCGAGGGACAGTGAAGCAGGAGGCCACGACCGAAGTCAAGACAGAGGTCAAGCCAGAGCACGCGACCACGTTGTCGTCGTCGTCGAGCGTCGGCGCTGTCGCCCCGAGTCTGAATGCTGCTATGTTTTTCCGGCGCCTCGAGCGTCTCTATCGTTCGTGGAAGGTATGGACCGTTACCACGTGCGGGTCGATGCGGGGGAGGCGTTTCTAACGCGTTACGTGTGAATTACCACCTGTGGTGCATGACTTGATCGTGGCTTGTGCTGCGTAGACCGACAGCGCGTGGGGCGGCGTGGACTCGTTCTGCGTGCTCGCTGGCCGGGCCCAACAAGAGGAGTCGGGCTACCGCAAGTCGGCCGTGCTGCAGATCTACTTGCTGGGCTTCCTCGAGTTCCCCGAGACGCTGATGGTGTTTACACCTGCGAAACTCTATATCCTCACGGGCGGCAAGAAGTACACCATGTTGGAGGAAGTGGCCCAGGCGACCCCGGCGTCGAGTATTCAGCTCGAGCTGCTCAAGCGGAACAAGGGAAAAGACAATCACGCGAACGTCAAGGTGCTTGTTGACGCTATCAAGGCCAGTGGACCGAAAACCGGCATGTTGACCAAGGAGAATCCACTGGGCGATCTCGTTGCGAGCTTTAAAAAGGCACTGGAGGCGACAGATGTTGAGCAAGTGGAGGTGAGCAAAGGCATGGAGACAGTGTTGACGGTGAAAGAGAGCGAAGAGCTGGAGAATATTCGATGGGCGGGTGCGTTGTCGAGCAAAGTCTTTAAGCTCAAGTTTATGGAAGACATGGAGCAGATTATTGACGACGAGAAGAGCATTAGTCACGAGAAGATCTCCATGGCGATTGAGGACGTGTTTGACCACCCGGGCAAGATCAAAGTGACGATCGATCCCGTGGACATTGAGCCGTGCTATCCTCCTATTGTGCAATCGGGAGGCAAGTATGACCTGAAGCCCAGTGCGCAGAGCAGCAGGGACCCGATGAAGTACGATGTGATCATTTGTTCGCTTGGCGCGCGGTACAAGGGATACTGCTCGAACGTTGGACGGACATTCTTTATTGATCCGACGAGCTCGATGGAAAAGTCGTACGAGCTATTGCGGGAGGCGCACGAGTTATGCGTGAAGGAGCTGCAGCCTGGAAAAGTGGTAGGCAAAGTGGTGGAGAAGGTGCGCAAGTTCGTCCAGTCTCGAAACGCCACGCTGTTTGGCAAGCTGACAAAGAACCTCGGGTTCGGTATCGGGCTGGAGTTTCGCGAGTCGTGCAATCTGCTCACGAGCAAGAATCAGACGGTCATCAAAGAGGGCATGGCTTTCAATGTGGCGTTCGGATTCAACGATATTCCGATTCCAGAATCGCAGCGTAAGAAAAAGAGAATCGACAGCTACGCGGTTTTTCTCGCCGATACTGTAGTGGTGCTGGAAAACGAGACAAAGTATTACACGAAAGTGCCAAAGGCATGGAGCAAGGTGCGATACGACATTGACGACGACAACGATGATGCAGCGGAAGAAGAGCCGAAGAAGAAGTCGAGCAAAAGCAAGGGAAGCTCAGCCCATGCCTCAGTTGACACGTCACTGTCTGGTACGCGCAACCAAGTGTTGCAGTCTCGTCTGCGTGACCAACAACGACAGCTCGAGGGTAAAGAAACCGACCAGGAGCGCCGTGATCGCCATCAGGCTGAGCTCATGCGCCGGAAGCGCGAAGAGGCTATGCGGCGGCTGGAGGAGCAAAACAGCGACAAGTCGGATGATCCAAAGAAGGAGAAGAGCATTCGAGCTTACTCAGGCCCGCAAGACTATCCGGCAGAGCTGCGTGAGCGGCAGGTGATGGTGGACATGCGTGCCGAGGCGGTTATCCTGCCCATCAATGGCGTTCCGGTACCATTCCACATCTCGACGATCAAGAATGTGAGCAAGTCCGAAGAAGACAAGGCGACGTACTTGCGTATCAATTTCTACGTGCCTGGAACGTCGTTAGGACGCGACGTTCTCCCGGCCATGGCAAACGCGATCATCAAGCATCCGGACAAGATGTTCATCAAGGAGCTAGGCTTCCGCTCATCCGACGCCCACAACCTAAACAACCAGTTTCGTCTGATCAAGGAGCTCCAGAAGCGCGTAAAGCAGCGCGAGCAACGAGAACAGGAAGAGTCCGACCTGGTCGTACAAGAGGACCTGATCTTGACACGCGACCGTCGCGTGCCACGCCTCATCGACCTGTCGGCTCGACCGCATTTGACAGGCCGAAAGACGCATGGCACGCTAGAGGCGCACTCGAACGGCGTACGCTTCATGACGAACAAGAACCAGAAGCTCGACATTCTGTACGCAAACATCAAGCACGCGATCTTCCAGCCTTGTGACAAAGAGCTCGTTGTCCTGATTCACTTCCACTTGAAGAACCATATCATGATCGGCAAGAAAAAGCAAAAGGACGTGCAGTTTTACACGGAAGTGATTGAAGGTTCGCAGACGCTTGACAACCGGCGGCGATCGATGTACGATCCGGATGAACTGGACGAGGAGAACCGCGAGCGTGCACTGCGTGAGAAGCTGAACACGACGTTCAAAGAGTTTTGTCACAAGATGGAGAGCGTGTCGGAGCGACACGGAAAGTCGGTGGTGTTTGACATTCCCTACCGGGAACTTGGTTTCATGGGCACACCGTTCAAGGAAATGGTGCTGCTGCAGCCGTCAGTGCATTGTCTCGTGAGCCTCACGGACATGCCGTTCTTCATCATTTCGCTGGACGAGGTGGAGCACGTCCACTTCGAGCGCGTCATGTTCTCGTCCAAGAACTTTGACGTTGTGTTTGTGTTCAAGAACTTCGACGTCATGCCCATGCGTATCAGTGCTGTGTCCATGGGTGAACTTGAGCGCATCAAGGAGTGGCTGGACGACATTGACATTTGCTTCACGACAGGAACGGCAAACCTGAACTGGAAGAGTATCATGTCAACGATCAAGAGCGACCACCGCTTCTACTTGGACACCGATGACGACGGCGTGCCGAAGCCGGCTGGATGGGAGTTCCTCAAGGTACACTGTGCACTGGCTTGCTTCACATTGATCATCTTTGCTTACATTGTTGTTCATGTCGAGTAGATGGAAGGCTCTGATGACGAAGACGAAGACGAAGAAGAGGCTGGAGACAGTAACTACTCGGGTGGCTCGGACGACGATGTGGACGAGAGCGAATCGAGTGATTCCGATGGCTCGGACTGGGAGTCCATTGTGGACGAGGACTCGTCGTCTGCGACACCGTCCGAAGAGGAGGAGGACGCGCCGTCGTGGGACGAGCTGGAGAAGGAAGCGCAGGCGTCAGACCGCATGCGCAATGAAAAGCGTGGACCTGATGACGACGATGAAGACTACCGCCGTACGTCCAAGAAGAAGAAGTCACGTCATCACTAGGGGCTGACACTCAGCAGTCGCAGTTCGGCATGCGCTCGCTTGTGTCGTTGCGTGTGCTTCCTCCTGGCAAATACTTTGTGAATGCTTTCACTCGCTCTTGTTGGAGAAGTCGCTGTGTGTGACGTTTAGGTCCCAGCCAATTCACCCACTGAGTGACTGAGTATCTTTTGGCACAGATGCTGTTCGCTTTGGCAGTACCAATGTGATCGGCCACTACGCACTTCATCGATTGGGATCTCGATCACAATGTTGGCACACTGCAGCTTCAATGTCTTCTTTGCGCCTCGTTATTGCAACGAACTAAACAGATGAACATGCAGGTCATTGGTGCTTACTATCAGCGTAAAGGCAGAAATGTTACTGTGCACACAAAAAGACAAAAGGAGCCCTTGTCGAGTTTTCCCTGTAAGTTTAGAGCGTTGTGTACGTGAGATTGTCGTTTCTCGGTCGTACATTTTTGTCGTTCTGGCAATGATACGCTCGCGCAGATCACGTGTACGTTCGATATGCTTTTGGTCATTGCGTTTAAGACGAAGACGGGGTTCGCCAATGGCGTCATAGTATTCAGCTCTTGAACATGTTTATGACCGCGCTGAGAAACGGGCGTGACACTCGGACATGCTGATCATAGAGGCAGCACGTGACATTGAGTTCAACTACATATTGCCATTGGGCACCTGCGTATCGTGTGTAGGTTGTCATTCGCTCGCTCGATTGCTCACGTGTCACCACAGCTTGGCCATGAACGATATATTTGCATCAAGTTTACCTCATTCGTCCTCACGAATGCAATCTCATGCCTCTTTCTCTCGCTGCTTTCACAACGTTTGATCGCACAGAGAACTGCATCCATGTGGTAGTCGATGCATCAACTGCTTCGCAGCACGCGAGCTCTGATTATCGATGACAAGCAACTTTGTATCATCAGCGCGATATTGTGCTTTACTTGACTCGTTGCTCTGGCATAAGCAATCTGGAAACAACGCCTCAGTCAATGAATAACTACTACATGCACTTACATTTCGCACTTGTACATCATCGCACACCATGAACTCGTATCTTGTACGTCTCGCATCGGCAGTCCGATGCCGTCGTTGCAACGATCGCTTATACCCGTTTTTAGTGTGTGCGTCTTCCTTTCGATACTGCTGATCTCCTGCGATAAGTGTTGTGTTCAAACGTTCACTTGGCTTGGCAGTTGTCGATCAACCTTGCTCACACCTGTGCACAACTGACTGTGACCGCTAACTGCCGAAGGTGAGAGGAGCGAGAGAGGATAGAAGAAGAAGAAGAAGTAAAGAGACAACTGCGCGAGCATATATTTACGTTCACCCGTGCCTCGAATTGGTCAACAAAAGCTATTGGAACACGTGGCCTACAGGTGCAAAAGTGTCACGTGACCTCACACTCACGTCCGGGACACTCAGACCGACTCGCAAATGCAAGATACATCGGTAAATGGCCAAACAGACTGTACACATGCAGCTGCTGCGAGGAAGAATTGAAAAAAGCTGCAACTTGCAACCGTGACGCCCTCTTGTATTACGGTAGCAAGTGGTATGCTGTGTCTTGTTCCACAGCGAGTGTGTGTGTGTCTAAGATAGACTACGAAAGTGTTCCAGGTCTTGTACGTCCAGTACATGCAGCAAGATGAACACCGTACGGCTTGCTGCTACGATAAACGAATGTCAAAGCTGAGTCGGATTCTCTACCGGCGACGGCAAATACACGCTGCATCCGACGCAATTAAATGCACAAGATATGGGCGTGTTTGCCTCGCGCGCCGTGGAACGAATGGTCCTACGTCGCGGGGGCCGGATCTACGATTCGTCAGGCCCATCCAGTGGCTAGAGGCTACAACAACGCTTTCTTCGTTCGTGATGGCCATTCCACCATCTCCCTCTTTTGTGGTTCCTGCACGTCGACTGACAATCGATTGCAATGCTCGTTCATTGCTCCTTGCTACTACCCAAGGCGGCGATCGACCAACCTGTTGTCCATGAGCTGCTGTGTCGTCATCGCACATTGCTCCCAATTCCACGAGCGCACGAACGCTAATTTGGAAGATTGGGATAGATCGGGAGATGGGTCGATGTTGCTAATACATTGGCGGTGGAACGACTGCGTCTGTAGCAGTCCTATCCACATGCGGCACCAAGCGACTCACAATGTTGTGTTGCTCGGGCGACAAAAAGCGAGCACATTGCCATTCTTTGTGGCACGAGTCTCGATCGTCCACATGTACAATTGGTGCGTACGAAGAGCTCTTCCCGGCGGATGTGTTCTTGGAGATGGCCATCCACGAAACGCGATCCAGACGCTGGTTTCGACATAAATTGCGTCCGCGAGATCGCTGCGGGTGGAACTGAGGTGCATGTAAATGTACAGATTGCGAGACATGTATCGTGCTTCGGAGTACCACAGCGATGCACACTTACATGTCGTACTCGCTTCACTCTATACACTACGCCGTTCCGATTGCCGACCCGCACACGAGAGACGGTCGTACGTCCAGTGTCGTTGCAAGAACCCACAAACCCACAAACACTCCAAAACAAATCTTCATACATCGCAGTGTACTGTCGTCATATACGATTACGATCGCTTTTCCCTTCCTCGCACTCGCCATGTGCTTGAACCGTTTGGATCGTCTGACTGTAACGAAGATCCGGTGCTCGAACGCCGCAGCATCAACCGATTGCATGATCCAAAGCGTCAGCACGAGCGCGCAGGATCGCTCGTCGTCTTTGCCATAATCAGCAGTAGCACAGCGTGCGTGTTTTCTGCCGGGACAAATCGCTTCGACGCTGGTCCCCCAGTAGCGGTATACCTCACTTAACGGCGGAAGTCAATCGATCGAGCAAATCAGGAGGTCAGAGAGAGCCTGTTCTTCGTGGGCCGAGTCGTCAACAAAACGCCGTGCCGACTCTTTCAAACGCTCTTCCGCACCAGCTGCCGCTTGATACGCGAGCCATATAAACCCACGTGTGTGTGTGTGCGCGTTGGACACTGGAGCAAGTTGGCTACATTCCGTTTCTCTTCATCTCTGCCGCTCTCTCACTGGAATAAAGTAAGCGCAAGGAAAAGCAGAAGCAGCAGCAGAAAACGAAAAAAAGGAGAAGAAGGAGAACTATGGGCGGCGAAAAAAGCTTTTTGTTTACGCGACGGGCGTGAACAGCTACACATGTACATAGAAAAGCAACTCGCTACACATGAACGTCGACGAAAAAAGCTCAAAGGCGGCTGTCCATCTCATGGCACTTCAGTATACGTGCGGCGATCGACCGATCGAGAACGCTGCAACGATCGCATCGGCACAGCCGTCGCAAACAAAGTCTCTCGTAGGTCCTACGGCCTCAACTCGCGTCATTTTCTTCATTCTGCAATTGACACCATTGTCCCCAAGTGGCTTCTTCCCGACCGACACCCCCTTCACCACTACCACTACCCCCACTACCACTAAGACCGTCATGGCTTCTCGATTAGCGTCGTCGGCTGCGATTGCCCTGCGCCGTCGCCAGGACCCCAAGCTCATGGAAAAGTTCAATCTGGCCTCGCTGAACGGCGGCAAGAGTCCGTTCGTCGTGTCGAGCAACCGGTTGCTGAAAGTGGGCAAGAAACCGCTTGTGGACTCGAAATCTCAAGCGCGTGCCGTGGACAAGTTGTCGGACGAGTATTTGCTCGGCCCCCGCGATTCCCGCCAGGCATCGGGCAACCACCAGGGGGCGTAATCAGTTGCCTCGCGGCCGTCCATCCGTGCCCGTGACGCCACGCCATCCGTCATCCGCCTGTCTGTGGCTGTTCTTCCATACGTTTTTTTCTTCTTCTTCTTTCATTCTCGTTTCGACACAATGGATCCCTAAGCTAAAAATACAAAGCATCGAGTGTTTGTTTGCCTGCGATAATCGAGTGGGGCGTAATCTACGTGGGTGGGTACAAACGTTTGTCGACGTTGCACAGCTCCTCGTCGACGGTCGATCGTTTGAGCCTTTTGCAGACGGAAATAGGAACGCCGTGGCCTTTTGGGCCGAACGCTCGTGCGACGTGTGACGACAAACAGACTGTGCATGCAAACGGATACGCATTCTTTGACACGGGAAGAACCCGACACTTTGTTGCTTCACGATGACGCAAGTCTGTTGCCGATTCGAGTGACCAAATAGAACTGTAGGACCTAGACGCAAGGTTGCGCACAAGACGTTGTCAAGGCCAGCGGTGAATGTACTCACGACGCCAAGTTCGATCGTGACTGGATGCTCTGCACACAGTCGTGCTTCGTCACGGGAGAAGTAGAGTTGTTGTAAGGCAACGCGATGAGCGATTCTTGGGCGTAGACAGCTCGCAAACAATCAGCAAAACATCGCTCCCTCGTAGCTGCTCACGACCATTCAACGTCCGTAGTTCGACAAGGAGGGCTAAAATCAATCAGTGATCTGGACAGGAACCATGCGCGGATGAGCGAGAGCCAAAGCGCGTTCTTGTCGCGTGTAGCAAGTTGCTGACGCCTCGACAAAGAGCAGTCACCATTTGCTCAAGCATCAGCTATATCAAGCTTCTTCTTTCTCCTCTTCTTGTTCTTCCTCTCTTCTTTCTTTTCCTCTTTCTCCTCTTCTTGCTCTTCTTCTTATACTGTCTAAAGTCCTCTATTGCCCCCATCGATCTCGCTGACACCAGCTTGCTCTATCTAGCTCTGACCTTTTGCGTCCCTACATGTGTGTCTTCCCGTAGGACTCGAACGCACTCGAGAATGAACTCAGTACAGTGTCAGCCACCGCACAACACTACGGTGATCCAGTGTCACGAAGACCAACAACTTTGGTCGTCGTCAAAAGCTGCGCCTCTTTGAATCCAACATGGCAGGACCCAAGTGGTTCCACCAGTTGCGACGACGTTTGCCCATCCCCTCTATGTCTGGCAACACCTGCTGCTTATATCACGCCATGCGATAAAGTGCCACATGACGGTAGCAGCAGGTTCGACACCCGCAGTGGTCTAATCTTTTGTCTTGATGCCACTTGAGGTGTATCACAAACGAGACGGCAAGAAAAGGCGGATGCACCCGTAACGGCTTTTCTTCCCGCGGGCTAATGGCACAGACGACATACGAAAAACGACTGCGAGCTCCATGACGTTGCAGTAGACGGACGGACTCTCACTGCGGGAGACTGCGGTCCGTCGCGTCCTATCACGTTCCCGGGGAACAGACAGCTACACTTCCACTGATTTTTCAGCCCAGCTCTTGTGGTCATCAGTGGGAGATAGCATGGCCACAGGACGTGTATACATGTCCGCATCGCAGCGCGCAAGTTCAAGACGAGCACAGGATACGGGTGCTCGTATACAGCATACGATTGCGCTTTGGCCGAGACGCTTGCACCAGACGTACGGTATTTTGTGCTTCTTTCGCTTAGGTACGAGAGCAGCGAGCGTTTGTACCCAAAACGTACTCTCTCCCCTCGTGTTCGTGCTTCAAACCAATCGGAGACGAGCATGACTTGCTTGCTCGTCCGGGGCGTTATCTAATTGGCTACTATTCTTGACAGTCGCAATGCAATAATTGCAATACGTAAATACGATACACTTGTACAATAGTCACGACGACCGACTTGTGCTGGACAACCGTATGCGTTTGTGTGTTTCTGGGAGCTCCCACCTCTGCTCTTACCGCTACCCTTATGGTAAAACTTAGAAACGACAGCTCATCGTATCTGCTGCAATGCTTGCGACTGGTGCTATAAGCGGTGATGCTCGACGTTCATTGTGTGTAAGTTAAAATTTGTCTGCGAGACGTCACCCGACTCCATCGTACTTTGGACCATGCGGCACGTGCGCATCTCTCTCTTGTTGTGGCGATGAGCTTTTCTACATCTCTGAACTCCACGGCCCATTTGCACCGCAACACTTCTCTACGTGCTAATCTACGCACTCAACCTCCATCAACAATAGGCAGAAGACAGTGATCGACTATTTGTGAGCTCTGTCGGGTGCTCTCGAAAAAGATGCGTCTTGATGCATTACATATAACTTGATACAAGTGGGCTCACCACCACCTTCACACGAAAGTATTATCGGTCGACCGTTTAAGATGTGACAAGTGAAGCGACACTAATGTACAACCGCTTGTACTGGTCGTCTTTCAGATCTGCTGGAAAGGAGCAATAGCGCACGAGGTATCGCAAAATGCTCGGTCCCTGTATGAGCAGAAAGCGCGAAAGCCACTTTAGCCTCCGCGGCACTGCTGTATAGGTAGCAATGGTATATAACTAGCACTGCTCTTGGTCATTCATTGCGTACTTTACATGCATGACAGTATGTCATGTGCTCGTCCGCGAAACGTAGTGCGGGTGAAAAAACGAGTCTTGTTGTGTATTTCAGCGCTACAGCAAGTTCATCATTGTTGTTTTGCAGTATTTGGGATGCACCATTAGTCGTACCAATACAACGGCGCTTTCTGGTAGCACAAGGCGCTTACAATCTAGCTGCTTGCCCGTCTATTGAGATCTCTTGTCCGGCGTAAAGAGACACCAGGTCATGAGATCTTGCGTTTTACTTGTCCTTATCGTTTACATCTAGCAATGTAGATGGAAGTACAACGAAAAGCCAAGTACACGGTCACATCTTGACTCGGTGAGCTCATTATTGCTAATGTTGACATGGTGACCGCTACCGATTTTCATGGCACCAGTCTAATCGATGTCAAGGTCGCGTACGCACGAGTACAAGAACCAGCTGCTCGCGCAAAAGGATACGCTGCAAGATCTTCTTTTGAGTTGCCGCTGAAGAAATGACGTGCTCTGTCGCTGGAAACAATACGCAACGATCAACGACGTACCAATCGATCCTGCTTCATGTGGAGGTCAATTATGGTGCACAGAAGCCATTCGATAATGCGTGGTTGATGCACTGCGAGGATCGTGGATCAAGCAGCAGGTCCGTTGCTCGCGTTCGTTGATCCTGCACTGGAGCAAATATACCGATACGCTTAGTCTGTGGCATGTGTGAGATTCTGCCGCATCTTTGCATGGTACCTGAGCCATCTCAAAGGACATAAAGTAATCGCCAAAGCCTACGACAGCATGCCAATTCGTGTGGCGTCAATGCATACCGGAATAAGTGCCGCAGCTTCCGACAGCTTGGCGAGGATGAAAAGTGGTATACCCACGCTCACTAGCTAGATGGACCAGTGACACTCCAGTAGATGGAGCGTCAATGGATGCAAAGCGTCATACATTAGTCGTCGACCGACACGCTTGGCCTGACTAACCACAAGGATACACGCTGCTAAATTGTGTCGATTCGATCACTGTAAGTGTGGCTTCCTTGTATGAACAAGGACCTCTTGCACCTACTAGTGGCTGTGTGTTGCGATTTACGAGGAAGTACGACGACTTTACATGATATTCGATAGCGTGCGTGTGAGCCGCGCAGTTGCTTTCGACACACTAGACTTTCATCATCATGCTGTCAATACAATGCTAGAGCATTACGTGGTAAGACCAAGCTAGCTACAAATTACTGAGGGCACTTGATTTGTTCTGGAGCCCATGTTTGATGTACTTGGCGATAGGTCCAAGCGACAACAGCCACTAGGAATGGTGTACGTTGCTGTCGACTTCAGCATCAAAGCCCACTACCACAAGTCGAAGCTGGAGCGCAAACGAAGACCTCTACCTGGTCGCATCGCTCTTGAACTTGAGTCGTCCTCGTAATTGGTAAGGGTGCTGATGCCATTAGCGCTGAGGTTGTCAAAATAGTATGACACCGTCCAATTGCAGCTAAGATGTGCGAGGCTGAATCAATAAACGTACAGTATGGCCTTTGCCGATGTGCGCATCGGATGTATATAGCCTCGTCGCTTCTTCTTGGCCTCATCAGTATAGCTATAAGCGCTCATGGCTTGATATGGTTCCAGAATGCGTAGATTTTGGCCAACGACTTCGTCCTAGTGTGCTTTCTTGATGGCCTTTGTCCACCTGCTTTTTCATACAGCTGCACCGATCCTTCTTGCCAGACGCATGGGTAAGCAATCACCTCTCGTTACTACGTATGATCAAGTTGGGATGTTGCTGCAACCGTCTCAGGTCTATACTTGCGCTGTTGGTCACCAACCAACCGACTATGAACGTCTTGACGTCGGACAACGCAACCGCTTGGTCTCTGGAGCTGTGGCAGCTGCTTCCACGCAAGACAATGCGCTTGGCGGCATCCTGGCGGTCTGAGAGGGAGAAGAACCCAGAACTTGCAGATACAAGTCTGAGGTCGTGCATGATGACGGTAAAGAGGTCATGCATGATTACGTAGGACATTGTAAGGTCACGGATGAGTACGTGTTGAGGTTGCACAGGGACCCGGACGTCGTCAAAGGTTTCGAGCACTATCTCCTTGAAGCCTGGCACTGAGTTCGATCCGAATCGTCGGTGCCAACTGTGCGATAGGCGCAAATCGGATCATTTGCACGGCATGCCGTTGCTACCACGCTGGTGCGTAGTCCTGCCGCTGATCTTCGGAGCAAATCCCAGAACAGCATCCGAACGTGATTTGCTCGAAACGCGGACGTCGGAACATGTCTGAGCAAGAGGATTCATCGCTTATACATTGACGCAAATCTTGGGTCCGATATGGCGGTCTACTGAGCTACGACGGCGATGATAGCGTATAGCATAGAAGCTGGAAAAGCATGCATCAGGTGTGCGAGTATCTAGTTCGCTAACGAAAGCGAGGCCGTTCCTGACGTAGGAGGCTTTTGGCTAGCTATGCCTGAAGCTGTTGATCCAGGTAATGCAACTACAGTCTTCGTGTTCAGTCCGATTGAGCCAGTAGAGATGCGGCGGTACATTTGTGGCCTCCAGAAGGATGTCTCCTGGGTTACTTGATCCTTCATGAAAGTTAGCCGGTGTTTCGGTATGTACATTTCTTTGCAGGCGGGAAAGCATGAAGATAAGGCATGCGCAAAGCGCCGATGACGTGTAAGGTTGTGCATAGCGAGCATACTTGATTTCACTGCAGCACGATGTCACTCGACACCGTTTACGGCCTGGGAGTCTGACATCGAGCACTAAGTCTCACATAAGCTGCAGCTCACTTTGACTCGTAGTATCCAACTACACGTACCAGAGACTATCAACTAGAGCCGGGCTCTAGCTACTATCATCATGTCACTGACACCACGAAGCACTGATGTGCCATCGTGCAAGTGTGGCACAGGAATGTGCAGCCTTTTCCAAACAAAGCTCGGTGCTCTCAACGAGCTATCGTAGGCGGACCGGCAATCGTCCATAAAGCCGTGAATCATTTCGATCAACTACGCTACAGCTACTACCACTAGCAGGTGCTCCGTCTAGTGCGTCACTTTGACCTGTGCGATCGACATGGCGAAGGAAGACGCGACTTTGTCGACGAAACCCATGCACTTATCTACTGTCACCACGTCAAAAGGCAGAGATTGACCAGACGCGTGTTGGGCAGAGGCACAAGTGCACTGGACTTCGTTTCGGAGATCGCATCGGACTACCGCTACGTTGTGCCTGAGCCAGACGGTAGTTGACAAGTTTCGGCGAATGAACACAGTCATCTTCCCAGAGTTCACGTGAACGCTACTGTCAGTTCGCTCGGTACGCGTGCGAGAAAAGCGATACAAAGCACTTTACAAAGCACATGCCCCAAACGAACGCCTGCACAACGACAGCCTACCGCCATGAGAGGAAGAATGCATCCATTTCAACGCAATACTTCTGCAAGCTGTCCTCCTCACAAGATCGGCCACTCGACGATTGTTGTCAATCGGTAACGTGCCGCCACTTACAGTGCTAAACAAGCTGTGCTGTCATGACATTTGCAAAGAATGCCTCACCTCAACTCGTGGTCTTCCCAGTCGCATATCATACCTTCGTTTTCTTCTTCGGAGGCGGTAAGCTGTCAAGTGCGTCAAAGCTTAGCTCCACTTTGGTGTCCTGCAGGTTGTCCAGGTCGCGGTACGACGTCGACACTTGGCGAGGATCCACTGGCAAATCTCTGTCTGGTACACGAGGTCCGCCAGAAGGAGGACCACGCGGAGGCGAGCGACCATTGTTGCCGTTGCCATTGTGTCGAGGAGGGGAGCGCGGAGGTCGGTCAAACGAACCTCTTCGCATGTGGTCATCGCGCATCGGCGGACCACGGCCACGGGGACCTTCGTCGCGGTACATGCCTCGGCCGCCGCCTCCTCCACCAAAGTCTCTGTCAGGTCGTCCACGATAGCCACTGCCATTGCGGCCGCCATTCGGTCCTCCACGTCCACCAAGTATAGCACCTCCTAATACGCTGTTGCTTGTTTCAAGAGGAGGCATCGGGTGGTGTTCGTCCTCGCGGTACTGCTCCCACATGTAGCTCTCACCCACCTCGGCGATTTTGTCGACCGCCAGCTCAGGATGCTTGTTGCGAATGTGCTTCTTCACAAAGTCCATGGCCTTAAACAGCTTTGTGCACAGCCGACAACGGTGTTTGCCATCATCGCTGGCCTTCTCGCCATAGTTTGCGTACGTGCTTTCCAGTGCAGCCTCTTCGCGAGCTTCTATCTCATCGACCAAAGCACGGTTCTTGGCACGCTTGGCCTCCACGACTTCGGGCGCCAGCTCTTTCAGATACGCTTGCACCTTATCATCCAATGCGGCTGCCCACCCGCCAACCGCCTTAGCAGTTTCTCCTGTCAACGAAGCTGACGACTCTTTTCTCTCTCCTGCTTCGGCGTTTGCCGTGTCATCCTTATTCTTTTCTGCAACAGCATCTTCTTCCGACTTCAAAGCGTCAGCTGCCGCAGCCGACTGTCTAGCCTTCTCTTCCTCTAGATCGCGAGCGGAAGGCGGCGGACGGCAAAACAGCGCAGGATGCGCGTGCATTATGTCACCCATGTCGAGGCATTGCACACCTGCGTAATAAATATAGTGGTGCACTCGGCGCAAATATGCTATCACAACGTCCAGCTTTGCCTTGTCCGTCAAGAGAGTCGGCGCAACTTCCTCGGATGCCAGCAGAGCTTCAATACCAAAACGTGCTAGCTTGTCTTCGGCACCGTGAAACAAACGCAAGTCGAGCGCCTTGGCCAGCGCAAGAGACTGCTTGTAGTCAGCTGTCAGACGCTCCGGCACCGACAAGTACGACGGAGTCTTGAGCGGTGCACGAGCACGGTGGGAAGACACTTGGAGACGAAAAGGCGGAAACTGGTTACTGTCTTCCACAAACGTGTTGTGGATCTTGGGCATGGCATCACTTGCAGCTGCTGCACTTTCGTAGATGATGTACGCGGATCGATCAAAGTCAAACGCGCTCTTCTTCACGGGATCCGATAGGTACAAATGCACAAAAGGGCCTCCCTACCGAACCACAAACACTCTCGTCAGCTCACTGCATCTCAACAAAGCAGAGCAACATGCGTAACCACGCAAGGTCAGCACGCACACGCGCACACCTACCGCCTTCTTGATCGTCTCACTCAGTGTGCCAACAGGACACGCACACGGCACCCGGCGCACGTACAGCACGCGCGCGCTGAGCTCCATATCATTTGCAAAATCCTCTCCAGGGGTCCCGCTACTGCTGTCCGTCGTTTGCTGTTCGTCCAGACAAATTTTAGTCGTGCCCGAGCGCACGCGCTCGCCAAACTGCTTGGCTTCGTTCATCTGCTGCAGCATCTTTTGCTTCTCGACCCGGTGCCGCAGCGCAGGCGAGTAGCGCTCTTGCAGCCACTCTTCGCGCTTGTGCTGGTCAAAGAACGCACGCAACACGCGCTGCACGTGCTTCTTCTTGTACTCCTCGTAGCGCTGCTGGTACACCTCGGGCGACAGCTCGTCCGTCTGCCGCATGATCCACACTTTGTACGACACGAGCGGCTCGGGCACTACCGACGACGGCCGCGTGTCCCGACGAGCAGGTCCTGCGTCATCAAAACGAGGCCCAGCGTCCCACTCCGGCGGTCCACGGCCCCGACGGGGCGGACTGCGACTGCGACTGCGGCCACGTGGGCCACGGAACCGCATGTCGTAATTGTCGCGACTGTCACTGCGATGACTGGTGCACAAGACACAGACAGCAATACACATTCAGACAGCAAGACACAGACAAACAAGTTTGATCAATTTAGCGAATCTATCAGGTTTCACAGGATCGTCAGCGAGCACCGACTGATACAGGTACAGTGCACATACCGGCCGCGCAAATCGTCGCGTCCGTATGGCGGCCGCTGATCCGGATACGGCGCGTTCAGTGGCCCACCATTGGGGCCGGGACCGCCTCGCTGGTCGATCGGTGGAAACTCCTGGCGCAGGGGCAGCTCGGCCTGTTGAATAAGAACAAACGGGTGATAAAAATAAAGAGGTTTAGCGCGCGCAAAACCGAAAGGGGAACGAAACGTCCTACACACGGCGGCGCGACGCGCGCAGAGACGCGACGGCGCGGGAGGGGAAGTATAAGATTAGACGTACCATTGCACCGTCGCGCGTGGCGGTCGGTGGGGGCGAACAGGCGACTGGGGGCGAACGATACGGCCAGAGCGGAGGGTACGATCGAGCGCGTGCTTTGGAGACTGTGCTCCAGTGCTTTGGGCGCAAGTGTACCGGGACGATGGTACAGCTCCACGACCAAACGTGGGGTATTAAGTATGCGAATCGTACGGATAAGCACGTCGGGGGGGGGCGGGGGGGATTGCTGTTGTTGCTCGAACGTTGTCGCAAGGGCTCTTTGGCGGTGAACGGGACGGCCGACTTATGCGCTATGTCGATTTGGTTTTTGTCACGGTCCGATTGGACCGTACTGGATACGTACCGAATAGTGAGGAACAGTAGAGGGGGTTTTATTTTTTTCCGTGGTAATGCATGTTGACAACAACGAGGGCTGTGTTTGTAAAGCCTGTGCGCATTGCTCGATCATCATCTAGAGGAAGCGAGAGCATAACGGCTAGATGTAAACTTGCAGGTCATGTACTGCACAACGCATGCGTCTATGCGTGTTTTGGCACGCGCGAGATAGAATATATACGGCTATATCGATACGCCGCACTGCATGTATTGCAATAAATGAATGCAAACGAGTGCTCTTCATGCGTGAAGATGACGTTTGTATCAGCAAAATCGAGTTGCGCCGAGACATTGCTAGAAGACGATAGAAGCGGTGTTTACGACGCACAATTGAGCTACGTGCTGACCGCTGTCAATACAGACATGGAAAGACACAACACCGAATACTGCATCCACTTCGTGTTTGTCAGCATTCTCACACGCTCGTGTCATTTCAAGTGGCTTTAACATTGCCTTAGCTGCAACCGACGCGTCTTTCGATCTCGCAAGCTTTTCTTTTGTCTGTACGACTGATTTCATTACCGACAATCAACGAACCGGCGCGAAGCGAAATACGTGCGAACAAACGCGTCTTGTCCGGCTGGCCATGTCCAAACGAGATCATGTCCTTACACAACCCATTGTGCGTCGTGTAACGACAACGGGACGAGGATGGCTTAGTCAAAAGGACTGCGGTCGACGTAGCATCGGTCAAACATCTTGTCGACTTCGTCCCGCGCTTCTACAGGAAACATCGACTACATAGAGCACAACCCGCCATCAGCTCCGATTCAAATCCCATACCCGACGATCTACAAAAACAACGTACACTCGTGGAACGAACAGCGTGTTCTCGGACGCAGCGCTCATTGAGCCAGCGCGTGCTTTTCTGGAAAAACGCGACATTTGGCAGCACGTTTTCCAACAGCTGTGCCTTTTGGTAGCACTCGGACTCCCGCGCCGAGCGAATCTCACTGCAAACGACCCCCACCCACCCGTCAACAAAAGTGGCCCATGTCGCTTCCACCGACTTTCACAGTCGTACCTGCAGGCCAAAACATCTGCCTTGGTAATGTCCATGTTTCGCACTGTAAACTGCATGTGCCACGACTTTGTCAGTAGTGACAATTCCCACCCACTTCAACTTGAACACAATCGATCCGCCAGCACCAACAACGCCCCTACATCGTAAGCGTGGATGAGCTCGTGCACCATCGTCTCTTCGACTTCTTGGGAGGAGTGCAGCCGATTGGCGCAAAAGACGACCGTCGGGGGCGGCGCCGCGAAAAAAAGCGCGAGCACTGCGTTCGGGGCCTGGGTGCATAAACTTAAAGGGTCAGTCCCGTGGGTTGACCTGTCAAAACGTATATCCCGTCCTACTTCATGCGCACCATCGTCGCGACAGTCGAGGCACACAAAGGCCATGGCCGCCACAGAGCTCTTGCCTTTGGTCTGCTGCTGCGCCAGGAACTACCGACACGGGGACAGTTGAGAGCCGTGAGCCGAGGCCCTTTACCCACACGGCAGTGGTCCACGCACCTGCCTTGTTGATAATGCCCACAATGAGTTGCGGCCGACGCCGGCGAAGCGCCTCGTGCACGGCGTCTTCGCACTCGCTGAGCTCCATAGTCGTTGGCCTCTCAGATTTTGTAAATCGGCTTTGAGAGGGGTTGCGTGTCGACGCGCTTTGGAGCGAATGGGACAGATGCGTGCGGACACGACTGGCTGCCACACGGACGATGGCGAGTGGTGTACCGCGTTTTGGAACGGTCGACGAAGGACCAAACGGGTCGTCGTCGTTTTTTTTTTCGGGTTAATATTGGAAGGAAGCGATTGGGTACCTCTACCTCTGTGCCCTCAGTGAGGGGGCACTTGAGACTCACACTACTTGTGGTGGAAGACGACATGTTCTTGCTGACAATTTGCTTTTCGTTGGTTGATGAGTTCGAAGCCATGGAGTCCTACGAAGTGTACTGTCGTGCAAACAATTGTAGGGGAACGAACGGACGGTTGGAAAGAATGTGCCTGTTTGATGGAAAGGCTGCGCATGTGGGCTCGTAGATTGCAAACGATATTCAGCGTCGAACCATGTCACGTGGTGTGCAATGCTAGAGGCGCTTGACTTGAATGCGCGCTCTTGTTGCCCACGACAGACAGTTTATCGTCATCCTAATCAAGTCGGTGTGGATGTTGAGTGCCACGAGGATCCGTTGCCCGCTAGCCAACTCGCTCTTCATGTAAATTAGTGTCCATCAAGTTTTCTGCAACATTTCACCACTTCAGCTGCCTGAAAGACACCGGTCGCATCTTTGACGAGAAACGTGTTCGAGCCACAGCGTTACCAGAACCTGTTGCCCGTTCAGCAAGAACCATCAGGCCTTATATGTGAGTTGTGTGAACAACGTGTGACATTCAACGATGTGCAATTTCCACGCACAGAGCTTTTTGTCGACTGTATGATGACACATACGCAAGGCGTAAGCGCATGACTGAAACAGGATGTGTAGACCGTCAGATTCGGTCTACACTTACTGTGCTTATGAGTGCATACTGCATTATCACCACACAACACGTTTGATCTGTCGACTCCTGCCTCTCCTATCAAGAGTACAGTGCCAGCACAACATAATCAAACGTCGATGATTCCATGGTCATGTACGAAACAAATGTCGGGTGCTTTGAGCTTCGCGCAAAGACAAAAAGCTGCGTAAAGTATCCCGAGCTTGAGAACAACATGCTGCAATTCGTTCTCACGCACAAGATTTTGAACGGCCATTCGATGGTCTCGTTTTCGGGTAAGCAGATCGACTGCGACGGAGTCCTTGTTAAAAGATGACGCGCTCTGCCTTGGAAAGTTGCTCTAGAGCTCAAAGAGTAGATCAACATACATAGCCGCGCTTTTGACCCACTAGGAGCTTACTTGCTGAGGTAGCGGAACCAGCGATGTCAAGCGTCTGGATCCCAATTGAGCATTATTCATGTGACGTGCTCAACGTTGACGAACCAGCACTGCTCTACTAGTTATCGTCGAGTCGAGCTCTTTTTGTGGTCCAATGCAACGTCAAGAAGAGCGCTAAGACCTGTATCGTAGTGGTTCTGTGCTACAACGCAATGGGACCTGCATAGCGGTAGCTCAGAAAAATCTGAAAAGCCATGACGTGCTGAGGGCATGCATATCGAGAAGCGTGTATTCTTCATGTACGCAATCAGCTCTACAAGTAACATGAGCGAAAGCACTTTCGACAAGTGGTTTCCTCGATGTATCCTTTGCATGCACAATTGCAAAGTCCTACCTCTTACTGATAACGCTGCAAGGCATAACAGCATTGAAGCGCTCTTCAGCACGTGTGTTGTCATCTTGTGCCTAATATGCACATGAAAGAATCCGGGCGATGATGGTGCAGAACTCAAGCAGATAGATGCATGATGAAGGACGCACCGGAAGAGAGAAACAGCTGAGCACGGCTTGTTAACAAGAACGGTATACTTCTTTTGCCACAGGTCGATCGTTTGGAGCTAGCAACATGGCCATCACGATCGAGCCACTGACGTAGGATCGCTTAGGGCATTGATGCATGTGATCGATTCCCTCGTCACTCTCATCGCTATCGACGTCTAATCAAATGTTCCACTCGTACCGATCTGCTTCTGCACAATTACCTACAGGTCCACCTCTAGAACCGAAGTTCTTACGTATATAACTGTCACAAGTGTACGGTCTCCTTTTTTGCTGCACACGACCGTTACATTTTACGGTAACGATCGATTCGGATCCGAATTACGTCAATGGATCGCCGCGATTCCCGCGGTAAAGGCCATGATCGGGGCAACAATGGCGACAAGTTGCACCGTGTCGTGTCCATAGCTTCATCTGCGTCACTTGTTAGTGTGTCACTACAACAGGAACCGATTCATGGAGAGTGCCAGGCATTGTGTCCCTTGAAAGAAGAGCAGGAACGTCGTGCGACTCACGAGCTCAGTCGCTTTGAGTGTCCGAATGAAAATGTCCCATTCCTCGTGGCCGTGAAGAAATACCGTCGAGCTGCTGCAGGCCGCGACGTCTTCATTGCGTCAGCACTGAGGCCAGCGCCTGTGCTGCTGCGCACGCTTCGCCACTTGTTCACGACGGTGCTACAGTGGCCGCAAAGTGGGTTTGACAGCTGTCTACCGACTGTCAACGCCACTTTGCAGCCACTTGAGGCTCGACCGAACGAGTTTCTAGCCCTTTACTACTTTGTCAATGATCGCGTACGCAGTGTCCGGCAGGACTTTACCGTGCAGGTATGTGAATCGGTTTCAGATCGACAACTTCAGGCAAAGAGGTCTACAGTTTGTGCTTTGATGAAGATGAGCTTGACACTATTTTTCTCCTCTTTTGTTGCGATTGCCATTGCCAGCGAATTGAAAGTGTGTCATTGATGATAGCGCTGCAGCAGATTGCACGTTTTTACCTGGTGGCGAGACTGCTGTCGGTGCAGTTGTTGGGAGATGGCAACTCTGCACAGGATTGGAGTGACAAGCTGAACGACGAGCAGTTGGTGTCCGCCCTTTCGCAGCTTCGGGCACTGTATGGTCGGCACAAGCTGAACGATGTAGATCAAGACGTAGTTCCCGAACTACAGAACGCAGGAGAATTTGTTGCGTACGACGTGCTGTTGCAGATTGACAAACCTCAAGACGTTGCTTGGATGCTACTTAAACTATCATCGAAGCTACGTGGTTTACCGATGGTACAGCGCGCCCTTCGAACGTTTGTGGCGTTCCAGACTGATGACTATCACGCGTTTTTCGTCGAGTTCAACGCCATGACAGTGCTAGAACGAGCTGCATTGCTGCACCACCTTTCGAAAGTTTGGACGCGCAGTTTGCGAATGATGAACAAAGCCTTCGGTAAGCAGGATCGCTTTCCGCTCGAAACATTGGCTCGCTGGATGAACCTGGTTGGTCCGCAAAGCACGGGCAATGGTGATGAACTTGCGGCGATCCTGTGCGAAGCTTTGGATATCCATACGCAGCGCTGCCCGCATGAGCGTCCATCAACTAGAGGCGACGCTAGCAATGTGGCTGACTGTTGGGAACATATTGATCAAGTCGCCGACCACGACGCATCGCGGTCCGCAACAAAGCCTTCTGCGTACGGCTTTGCACAATTCAAAGTCGCGCCACTGCACGACCAGCTCGACTCGAATGCGGTGAAGCTGCTACTTCGAGATGTCGCGCAGCGACTGATGGACAATCCAGACGCAGCACCATTGACGGCAACAGACTGGATCATGGGTACATCTACGAGCACGGATCAAGCTGATGCAACTTGAAGGGCTAATTGTGGACAGACTGTTTCTTCGTTCTGCTCATTTACCGTGCACGTTCAAGCGATTTCATAATGCGAGCTTTCGGCAACGAAGTGAGATCGAGAGCACTGGCTTACACAGGAAGAAGCGACGAACATCATTTTTGCGCCAGCATTACATCTAGCTGCTACGGAAAGCTAGATCGCGTGATACTCTGTATGACCGCTTGGTAGTGAATGTCACAATTGTTGCAATCTTGGATAAGGCGATACTATGTGAATGCTATGTATTGGTAGAGCAGCAACTTTCATTCCATAAATGTTGCTTCATTCCGGATACACTTAAGACATTGGTGCTTCTATATAGCTACACAATCTCTTCGATATGACTGCAGATTAAGGTGGTGCGACTTGGAAGAAGCCGTGATACTCGTATATCTGCTGTTGCGAAGTATGTGTCGAGCGATTATCTTCGGACATCTCATTGTCCTACCCTGAAGGCATTACGCGGATTATAAGCGACAGCATTGACGCTTGCGCTTTACTTGCGATATGAGAGCCTAATAAATCGATATCCTCTGTATTAAATTGTATCAATTTTTTTTATTTCACAATAATCGACTCGAACATGTATCGTAGATGGCAATGAGCTTAGCTTTTTGCAGCGCTTTCACTTCATTACTACATTCAAGCTCGTGTTAGTGTTAGTGTACTGATATAAATGAATGATTTCCAATGTAGGTTTCGCATAATTACTGAATAATGAGCATCAGTTACGTTATCGCACACCTGTAACGACAAAAACTAGACGTCTGCAAACTCATGCAGACTACCACAAGAGCAATTAAAATTTGAGCCCACATGATCGATGACATACTGATGTTGACTATCAGTCGAACCGATGATGCGGTTAGCTTTAGGTACCTTTTGCTCGTGATCGCACCCCTCAACCATACAAAGGACTTTCAACTAGAGGCGTATAAAATGCAACGGTGATACAAACGTCAAAGCGCGGTGAGGGAGGTTGCTGTGCTGGACAAATGACGCGTAAAATTTGGTCTTGTAACTTTAACATGCGACACTATATGATTTGATGATAAGTCCACCTTTTTGTCATCATTCAGTATATGTGCTTGACTACATGGAGCTAAATAGAAATGGTTGCAACTGACACGTAAACTGGACGTCCAACAACCTCACCCATTCGTTTCTTCGGCTTCTTTGAAGCCTCGGTCAATGGCTGCACATTCAATATGGTCCATTGGAAACAAAGATTCGTTAGCATTTCCTCGATCTGACTTCTTTACCAAAGGTACGGCCTTTTATCGTGCTCGTATTTACTAAGATCACCTCAGATCTGACATGTGCGTGCAAGGTCCTTCACCGGCGACAATCTTGACCCAGTAATATTGTGATTACATATGTAACGAGGTGGACCCTTGTCAAGTCAAAGACACAGTTTGGTCAATCAAATACACCATCTTAGTGAATATTTTATCAATATTCACATGTCTAGGCAAATATATTATAGAGTTGCCTTTGTATGAAATATCTAGTGTCGCCCACTCATTCATTGATATGGGCCACAATAGCAACATTTGAAGCTAGTGACTACGCATAGCGTAATATAGATCATAACATGCTATGTAAGGAAACTTAAAAAGTCGTGTACAAGTCCATTTGTCCCCTCTGCAAGACGTGTTTATTCAGGAGACTGGCCTCCGTTTGCACGTACAGTGTACGTGAAAAATTCTACCTTCATCGTGTCTGCGAAGGTAGGTTGTACTGTTTTAGTACAATCTACATGTTCTTCGTAACAACAGGCATCGATTGGTTTCTATGACGAAATGGTCGTGTATTGGTTTACTGGCAGCAACATTTAAGCCCTATCCTGCTATGATATAATCATTAATTGAGAAGGTTTTGATAGTAGCTGATACCCGCAGAACTGTAAGCAGCAATGCCCTCTATAGTCTTCCTGCTTGTTTTAGCAAGAGCAGCTTCATTGGCCTGAGAATGATTGTTCTCCGTTCGATCTTTTAACCTTTTTAGTCCCATCCAGTCTGGAATTTTGCAGGGCTCAAGATAATTCACAATTTATTGATTCTACCTACTACGCAACATTAAAGTTAAATAAAAAATCACCTTATGATACAATGATTGGGGCTTCTGGGGGTCTTTATTGTTTCATACTCCACTAATTCCAAATTTTGTAACTCTTGTAATACCGCTTCCATCTACCCTTCTCTATGACTCCTAAGAAAAGTACTAAACTTCTTTCTTACGAAGATAACTGGCGTATCGTTGGTAGTAACGTCGTCAATGAGACACGTTTACTTTCTTGTCTAAGCTTATGTGGTGTAAATACACCGACGATCACTTATATGTTTTATACCACCAGAAATGCGCGATGTGGCGATTACTAGCGAGTAGGTAGAAGAATGCAGGAGGCTTTGAATAGCAATAGAAGTTTGCAAACTAAGGACCATCATTTACTTTATAACTTGCCTTCTATCTCATACACCAACCTCAACACTTGGCCTTTTAAATGGATCACCGGCCTTATTCTCAACAATGTCTTCTTAACTAGATAACATTGTTTCTGATTCTTCTAGTAGGAGACTCTTCGTCTCTTATAGAAGATGCGGTCTTCTTGTAACGCCATTCAATTATTTTCTTCGCGCATGAATTGTTGTTAATCGTTTAAAAAATTTTATATTATATACTAAATATTGCCTGATCGAGTTCTTGTTCGGCTTATCAACAAACTTCTCGATTATGCGATAGTTTTAACAACGTACTACGGCAGGTGACTACGAGAATGTTAAGTTTTTAATCAACATTGTAACGTAATAAGTTATAATTTTCGCTGTGCAAAATTATGGCACCAGTCTCTACATTTGTGTACCTAGCGATTTAAGTACAAGGATCTTGGAGAAAAAGCGGTATTGTATCTCAGTTTTCTTTTCGGACTGTCTTTTTCAATATTTGCACGCATCGAGGTCCAATTTTACAATACGCAACCTACGATATTACCTTATAGAAGGCAGTAATGTGCCAAACTTTGTACAGTGACGTATGTCCCTGTCGCTACGCAAAGAGCAAAACTATAATGTGTGTAGCTTTTGGTGCCTCAGCATAGTGGAAAATATACTTACGCTTATACGCAAATCCTTAGCAATCTATGACCTTTGAATGATCAGATGACCATACCATGTAAGAATCTTCACAGTTTCCGTCGCTACCAGCATGTCTTGCTTGCACAAATGCTCTTATTGTCACATATATTGACTTTTTGCAAACATCGTTCATCTATGATACTTTCCAGCTTTTACACAACGCCTTATATTCTTACAGAGGAAGTGCCGCGCTTACTAATGATCTACATAATTTTTGAGTATTAGACGTTTGTCGGAAAGCAAATATATTCTTCTTAACGAAGTATGTAACATTTGCACGGAACAATCTGGACATAGACTTTTTTCGATTTCTGAAAGAGAACATTGACGAGTGTTTCTATTCTCTTAATTAGCACAAATTGGGCTAACGTATGAGACCGGTTTACGACCGGAATTCGGATACCTTAGCTAAAATTACATGCTGACTTCGCTTTTGCTTATTATATTTCTAAAATTGCTGGAAAGATAGAAGAGGATTGTGTCTATCCGTTGCAGCAAACCATACTTCTTATATAAATATGAGAAAGTTATGGAACAAAGCAAATAGGCAAAAATACTGATTTTTCACGAATGGATCAGTTTATGTCCGTTACAAATCTATTACAAAACCCGGTTGTCTTGCTCGATCTGTTGCGTTCTTGAGTCATGATGGGTTCAAGCATGTTGACTTTCCTGCGCTTTACTTTGCATTTCGTTTACGGCTTGGGAAGGAAGAAACCTCCGTACGGAGCTCTTGTCGTACTGTGAGCCACACCGGGTTGCTTGATACGCTTCCGCTCTTAACACCTCAGTCGGCGTATAATTATCTACGTGCACGCATTTAAGGTGCTGAGATTGGCCAAAGGCCCGTGCTGAAAAATACAGAAACCATGTTATCTGGCTTGGCAAGCACACCATTTTGCCACGCGCTTGATGACATGAAATCGCTTGTTTCTTCGCCAAGCTTGACACATCTTCGTCGATCAAGAAGCGGTCCATGGAGCGACGCAGGCTGGTCTTGAAGGGCTTAGAAATAGAGACATATAAATGCCCCAAGATTTGTGTGGAGTTCGGAGGAAGAAGAAGCAGAATAATCTTTATCTCGATCGCCTTACCAACGATACTCTTGCTGCAATAGCTTGCACAACCTTCGTAGATGAGCAGCTGTGGCCAAATGACGCTGCTGGGTATGCTTGCTGCAAATTGGTCCAACCACTTGACGAAGATAGATTGGTTCATAAACGCCTTCGAAGCGACGGCAACTGTAGCACCAAAAACGGAGCTCTTAAAATGTCACGACTCAAACGGTCACCTGGGAGCAGAAATAGTGGCGGTAGACACGATCCGGAGGCACTAACATAGGCGGCAAGCGTCAGGTGGAAGCTCATGTCGATACACTGTGTGTAAACGTTCTTCGACCCACGCACAGCGACGACTTTCATTGACTTCGATTTATGACCAAAATCCGTCTCGTCCATATTAGAAATGCGGTAGCTTGTTAGTATGCGCTCTATCGAGTGCTTATTCATCTGACTCAGAAGATGATTAAGGTTCTCTTTTCCCACTTGGTTGCGTGCGCGAGAAATCACTTGAGTGACTCTGAGTGAAAGTTAAGGGTGGCATTAATAGAATAACTTAACCCATCCGTCGCCCAGGATACCAGCCGATCGCGCGGGACTGAAAAGCACGCGGTACGCCTCATTCGCTTTGCTAAGTACCATCTGACGCGTAACAGGGAGACCCTCTCGCTACAATCCTCCTATCCACGTCAGGAGGACGTCTTCATTTTCTTGGGAAAGAACAGGCGGTGGTCCGGGTTTCTTATTGTCACACCAGAGCGCTGTTGGGTAGCGCGGCGGCGGATCGTTCTTTCTGGGATTGTACAACAAAAACTCGCGAACGGTGTCTTACGAAATACCAAGTTCATGAGCACTAACATCTTTTGCGCGATCGTCTTGGCTGTAGAACTTTCTCTTCTTCATCGTGAGTCGTTGCAGTATGTTATCAACCTGCGTTTGACGCGTGTGGGCGGCCATAAACTTACCCATTTCTTAATCAAGCCAATCAGATCGTTCAAAGTTTTCAGCTCTAGCATTTGATTAGCTACTGCCGATTGTTGGCTAAAAACTGGTCGTCGGTCAAAATATGGCCTGATACCTTACTCACCTTCATCATTTTCGACATCCAGTATTTTTCTGACCAAGATTGTCTCAATATGCTAAAGATTTAATTATATACTTATGCCGACTATACATAACGTGCGATCAATCATGTGTTGCTCTTCTAAAGACTTCATCATCGCAAAATTGATGACTTGATCTTTCACATTTGATGTTGTAAAAGACTGCTTAATGAAATGGAAAGTACTACGATCGTTGTGCTTTGTTGTACCATGTGGTCAACATGTGGGCCATTATAACCGGGTACGCTTAGTCTTTTGTTACGACCTCCAAGAGTTAGCAGCTCGATTACAAAATATTTATTGAGGGTTGTTACCGTCTTCATCTTCATACGACAGTTTATATGCAGATCTCTATCTGCCTCTCGTACATATAGGGTAGTTCAATTATGACCCGGTATGCCATGTATTTTCTTGGATTGTGCAGAAGGTACTTACTAACTTATCAGCAAGTTTTTTCAACCTTAAAGTATTTTATTGTTGAAGTCGACTTGCGATCGAGGTAGAACTCATGAAGACGATGCGATTCACGAAACTAAAAAATGGTAGGCACGACCGTGTACGTTATATGATATCTTTTAATAATTTTGTAGGCCATGCAACGAGTTCCCCGCACGGCAAGTAACGCATACATAGCAACGACACTTTCGGCTGTCGTTGTACTGACTTAAAAATGCAAGGATACCGTAAAGTGAGTAAGAAATTCAAGAATGATGATGCAAAATCGATTCTTCACTGGCGTAAAGACAAACGACTGCAAGATGGAACATTATATGACGTGAATTATGCTTGCTTCGCTTAATTGCCTACTCGTCGGTAAAGCATATCGCATCATCGTTGCGGCTATAGTCGATGACAATCTTGACCTTGCTTGGGATTGGTTGGAAAATGCGATCGTACCTTTTTTCATATTGTTGCGGTATTTCTTGGGGTAGTCAACCTGAAGAATCTCAATTTCCCTCAAAAATTGCTTTTTCGAATAAAGTAAACACTTGATCTATGTACAATTCGAAAAATTAAGATATCTCGTAAGCTTGTACCGCAGTTCAATTGTTATATCGGCTCTCGATCGCAGTTGGGGTCGTGCAAGTCCGTTTCGCGCCTAGTCGAGGTAAACAAGGGGAGGAGTCAAAGGGCATTAAAAATTATCCATGAGCTTAAGGTGACGATGTGATGGAGAAGTCGACAAGTGCTCCAAAAAGAAAATCAATATGTTCAGATCTCAACAAATGAATAACATATATATCACAAGTTCAGTCTAAACGAAAAAAATATATAATCTGCTTGTTGTCGTCCACAATGCCCCGTATGATAAATGAGACACGGAAATACAAATTGCTTTGGACGCGGTTGTAATATACGGACATCCGAGTTTGGCCATCTTATCGCGGATCGATAATTCAAGAGGTGTATGTACTTACTTATAAATGTGGCTTACGTATGCTATTCGAGCCTATGGTTTAGGCGTTCCACGACATTGGTTCACGATAGAAAACTATTGAAAATTGTCCTTATGTTGACATCGTTGTTTTACATTTCCTGTCACTTTCTCTACAAGAAGTCTGCCTCGTTGTTCATATAAGTGATCAATCCACAGAAAGATATAATATTGCGTAATTAAGGTGTTTCACAATCCTATTATTCATTTTGCAGGATCGCATGCAACGGTCAGCGAACCGCAGTCTATAGTATTCGGATCATCATCCCATGTCCTCTTGTCTTTCTCAGTTTGGTCTAGAAATAGAACTTGGCATCGTCTTATTTTTTAACTTCCCTTTCTCGCTTAACCTTCGTAAAATATTTATGTCCACATACGCACTTTTTTAATTAGATCGTATAAAGACTTATCTCAGACAAGCGACCCAATCATTTAACAGAGCTCTCGATTGCCCCACCGCATGAACTTGAAAACATATAGCTGAAACTTAGTGGTATTTTCTTTTGATAGAACGTGGCTTCTCATCTAAAGCTAACATTTGTTGGCACTATTATGCCAGCCATGCCGAATACAGACAAGAGCTTTTCGACCGGATGTATCGATCGTGAGACCGAGATCGTTCACACTGGTGTGTTGTTTCGTGCAGTCCTCGTTTTGAGATAACGCTTTTGTGACGACGTATCACCTCTGAGTACCACAACAAAAAAACAAAAGTACCTTTAAGACCCCCTCACATATTTCACTATTGAATCCGTAGCTCCGCGACGTCTCGACCATCAGAGTGCTGTGATGCTGTAAAATGATCATCTGATCAATGAGATAGATGGTGTCTGCATTTTATTGATGAAAGTAGATCGTAAAGGCTCATAACCTTGTTGTGGGCGACGGTATCACTCCGCCTATTGTTAGACTACAACATGTCCTCACGTACGAAGCTAAGCGAACAATATGCGAAAACCTTGCGATAAAGTTTAACGTGTACTTGACAGTAAAATGTAATGGTGTATATTAAGATGCTGTCCACAAAGCGACCTTCTACAGAGCTGGTGAAGCGCCAGATTTATGCATCTCTCACAATGACTCAGTTTTGCGATAGAATCTTTTGCGCAGCACAAGCAAGAAAGACAGGCTGAATAATGGACAATTCTTTGTAGCATGCGTGACTCAGTCTCTTGACGGCATTTGGCTGTCGGAGAGAAGCCCCGGATTTTAACGGAATCGACTCACACATTTCGACCGCGTGAGCACGTAGGGGATTGCTTCACACTGCAGGAAATAAGGGTCCCTGTAATGCGTTGACACGATGACACCGACCGCCGTCTTCTATTCGATGGTTTTTATATGCCTTGTTCTGATTGTCTGACATGGAACGGATGGCCTGATTTGTCTCATAGCCAGGGTCTTCTTCAGCCCCCAACATTGACCTCAACTGTCTCGTAACCAAATCCTTCCATAGCCTCTATGAATGTGGCTGTCCTTGTTTGCATAACTGAACTCGCGGATAATATGGTCAATAATGCCTCTTTGCATGATGGACAAGGCTTACAAATAACGCGTTTATCCTCTTGCGACGCTACTGACGCTGATCCGGAGCTCCCGCTTTGTCCCCGACTCGATTCACAACACAGCTTCTCGATCGGTTGTGCTTTGGAGGCGAGCAACGTATCAAGCGCATCTCTACGCACTTGCACTTTGTAATGGGATACTCTATCAGCGCAATAAAATTACCGCATGATCGTTGGCTCGTCCAGTAAAACCTCACGTTCAGGAATGGGTTTTTTATCATCCCGTATCCTGATTTATCATTGACCGTTTCGATCTGCTCGTTAGAAACGTCGTACTTCTCCTTCCAGCAAAATTGTTTAAAACACCGAAGTCGAAACCACTACCACACCCCGCGATCGGATCTTGAGCTCCCAGAGCGATGACTCGTCACACGCGAGAGGTCACGCCGCTGCTTGGCACTGCGCGCGAAACCCTTTCACCACGTCCTGATCGCCGCCGCAATGTGTGGTCATTTCTGGTCGTGGGGGCGCTGTGTCTGGGCGTCTGGACTCTCGTGCCGCAGCAAACTCAGGTGCCCGCCGACGTCGTCGAGACCACAGTCTCATTGGACAAAAAGGCTGCGGTTGTCACGACGGACGCAGACAACGCGGCGTTTCTATCGAATTTAGAAACCATGAAAAACCCACTCGTCGACCCTTGTGTGGATTTCTACGAATACGCGTGTGGCGGGTGGCTACAAACACATGGTATCCCAGAAGACCGTCCCAGTATCGACGCGTCCTTTTCTGTCGTCTCCGAGCACAACAAGGACACGATTCGACAGCTGTTTGAGCGCAGTCCGCCTCAGATTGGACCACTGTACCACTCGTGTCTCAATGGCGCGGACGTGGACGAGCAGGCGATGGCATATGTCACGCACTTGTTCCGTCGAGTTCACCAGGTGAACTCGACGCTAAACCTGCTGCAGTTTGCAGGCGAAATGGACCAATCTCTCGGTATCAGTACGTTCTTTAGTCTCGCGGTGGGCGCTGACCCACATGACCCAACGGTCAATATCCTGCAGCTGGCTCAAGGAGGGCTCACGTTGCCGTCGAGAGAGTACTACTTGGATCGAAGCAAGGTGGACAGGTACGCAGCTCTCTATGTGGACTACGTGGCCAAGTTGTTTGCCGTGGGAGACCTGGACCAGCACAACAGCAGCGGGTTTGCAGCATCGGTGCTTGAGATCGAAACAGCACTTGCTACCATTTCTCTACCAAATGCGGCGCTACGTGACCCGTGGACTACCAATACGGCGTACTCGTTTGCCGACATTGCTCAGAGATACCCCTTTCTGATGGCGTATGTAAACGGGGTTTACAAACAGGAGCCGTTCCCGATGCAGCACGCGATCATTGCGACGCCGGGTTTTTTCGATGCGCAGAATCAGATGCTGAGCGATGAATCACTGCTACCACGTTTGAAGCACTACATGAGTTTTCACTTGCTTGACTCGTTTGGGCCACTTTTGGGTGAGTACTTTCGCCGCGTGAGTCACGACTTTCATGGCAAAATCCAGGGCGCAGGGGGTCTTATCCCGCGCGATCAGTTTTGCGTAAGCTTGACGACTGCTTTCCTTGGAGATGAAATCGGAAAGTACTATATGAGCGAAGTGTTCGACGCTGATGCAAAAGCTGCGGCTGAGGCGCTGGTGGCAGAGATTGAAGCATCCCTCAAAGCGTTACTGCGCACGGAGTCATGGCTGGATAGAGTCACATACGACGCAGCTGTGAAGAAGTTGGACAAGGTCAAGAACTACATCGGTGGCCCAGATGATGTGCCGCCACTGCCGTTTGAGCTCCAATCTGACGCGTTCTTCGACAACGTGAAACGATTGATGCAGTTGAGTGCCGCAGAAACTATCGATTCGATCGGTAAGCCGGTAGATGAGCAAGCCTGGGGTATGTTTCCCTCAACGGTAAACGCCTACTACGACCCAAGCGCAAACAAGATGGTCTTCCCTGCAGCTATCTTGCAGCCTCCATTCTATAGTGCTGAACACTATCCTGCCGCAGCGAACTTTGCTCGTATTGGAATGGTGATGGGCCACGAGCTTTCGCATGGATTCGACGACCAAGGACGAAACTATGATGACAAGGGAGCACTGCGTTCGTGGTGGACTCCGTCAGTTTCAGCTGAGTTTACCAAAAAGGTGCAGTGCTTGGCAGCTCAGTACTCGACGTTCCCGGTAGTATCGATTGATGATGGGCATGTGCTCGGAACCGTCAACGGCAACCTAACGCTGGGTGAAAACATAGCTGACAACGGAGGTATTCGCCTCGCATATGAGGCGTATCACCTTTGGAAGCGTACGTTTGCACCTCGACCGAGCGTGCCTTCTTCTGACGCTCCGTTCGGCACCGCTAATTCAAAAACCGAAGGAGCATTGCTACCGGGCGAGCACAACGATCATGGAAGTCGTGATGCTCGCCACTATCGTAATGACAAGAAGAATACCAATGGCCATCTCACGGGCAAGCAGCATAAGCACCAGATGGGTCCCAATGAGGAGGGTGAAACTGGCCACCACGGTAAACCCAGCCATCATGCGAATAAAGACGACGAAGACAGCGGGAACCAAGAGCACCGCAAGCATGCTAGTAAGGACAAAGGTCATGAAGGGCTCAAAGCTGGAAAGACAAAGTTGCACCACCACGGAAAGAAGAAGCACGATTCGGAAGACAATGACAAGGTCCTTGCATCCGAACATCCGAAAAAACATCACCACCATCATCGTAGTAAGAATGACAAGGAGGACGGGGAATCAGGAAATCACGAGAATGGCCACCGTGACGAAAATGAGCGGAAAGACCAGTCGGACAATTGCGAGGATTGTGGACGGAAGGAGCGCGGTCAATCTCACCACAAGAGCAAGAAGGACTGGGGCAAGAAGAGCAAGCGCCATGGATGTGGCAAAGAAGACAGCGACTGTGGCTCTAAACAGGCTCAGTCAGACGCTGGACACCCTTTTTCTGGTGGTGACGCTCGAATGCAGAGCATGGTGGAGACATTGGCGCGTGCGGTCGCTCAGCCTGGTGATCCCGGCGCAGATGATCGTTTGTTTTTCACAGCTTTCGCTCAAGATTGGTGCGAGAAGCGCACGCCTGGGTATGCGGAGCTATTGCGGACGGTCGATCCTCATTCGCCCGGAAAGTGGCGTGTCAACGGTCCATTGATGAACTACGACAAGTTCGCAGAGACCTTCTCATGCCCCATGGGAAGTCCGATGAACCCAGAGAAGAAGTGCGTCATCTGGTAAGCAGCTGTGATCAGGAGCTGTCGTGAAAGCGGTGACAAGAACCGCGGTGAGGAAGGTACAGTGCGGCAAGCATGGCACTAAAGCTGAACATCAGTGTCGAGTAAAGACCACCTTTGCTAAGAACAACAACCTCAATTTGTTGGATGGAATGAGCTTAGCTTTTGTCGCCATGGTACCTGCCTGACAAGACCGAATGTTGTGGAATGCCTTGGCCTGTCACTTGCCACTCTTCCAATGGTACGAAGTCTCTCCTAGTAGATGTGCGTTTGCTGGTCGTAGCGTACAAGCACACTACGAATCAGCGGCAAGTCGTAGTTCTTCTGTATCGAGTACAGATGTTGCACAGGTTATCTCGGCGCCTCGTGTGCATGTGATGCTGGAGACATTTCACGATGCCGGTAATGCCAATACGAACGCGACGATAAGGACTGTAAGGCCCATAGAATCATCCGTCTGTCAAGGTCACTAGTCCACCCATTGTTACAGCGGTGTTAGTGTGCAAGTCTTTGCTCGTAGAGGGAGTATCCGCTTGATGCGAACTACACACTAGATTCTGTACGAGCGCTGTCTTCTCTGAATATTGCTTCGTTGCACCGCATCACCATACGTTATCGGGGTACTAACTCAATGCACTCTGTTCTCATGCTGCTTCAGTTGCTGTGTCGTCGCTAGACGTGATGGCCGAAGTCGACTACAATACACCTTGCACTGTACATATAAACCACTTTGTGTTACATAACTTCAGAAATATGATCCAGCATCGCGCGTAGCTGAGCTCAGTAGCTCGTATTGAGGAAGTGGTGCGTCTCGTAGCCGACTTTTGTCTTCTGGTAGTCTATCGTCGATAGTTTAGGTACATACAACATACTGAACGAGGAAGATAGTGATACAAGAGACTGGCAACAGCAGCCACACTGTTCACCGAATGCAAAGAAAATTGCAATGGTGATACTGCGCTATTAGAGTCAGCGTATCTAGACTTTCTGTCAAGCTCCGACATGGTCGTCCAGCGTTCGCAGTACGCATTGTGTGCTTATTTCGCATGATCGGTCGTGTCGAAGCCTTCGTCGGACATCCAGCTTGTTCGACATATGATCTTGCCGTCGCTGGAGGGACAAAAGCATCTGCCACATGCTCTCACACACACACTGCAATCAACATGGGAAACTTCCAACATACGCCACCACAAGTGATGCAGTCGCCCTAGTACGTGCGCGATCGACTATAGCGTGCCTTCTGTATGACAGTCAAGCGTAGTTGCATCGGCCAAGCTCTTTGTTGGATGCGCGGGTGACAACTTTTGTGGTCCAGTTTGCCGTTTGAGTGGGCAACGAACGGGCACACGTCAACACATCAGTATGCGAAAGTGGGACCAGTGCAGTCCGTTTTTGCCTCGACGCAACGACGTCATATGAACACATCAGCTGCGAACAAGAGCTTCTGACAATGGTACGGAACGCAAGACATGAACACCAGCGGAAGTGCTGCAACGACTAAGTTTTTATCAGTGCTCAAAAAAGTGGTACCGTTGCTGACCAAGTTCAGCACAGCGCTTCTGGAAGGCACGTGCAATGTCGTTCGCGTACGTGGAGTCACCGGGTTGTGCCGGACCGGATTTCGCCTTGCCAGGTGACGAGGTACTTCGAATCTCCCAACCTTTTTCAAATGCCTGTTTGACAGTTTTGGGCCTTATCTTGTGATTGTACCAAGAGTCGAACTGCACCCTTTGAACCATGCGCGCGATTCGGAGTGGTTCCCCTTCCAGCTGTCTCGTAGCGAGCATGGCTAGTATTGCCACTTCCTTCGCACCTAAAACAGTCCGCAGTAAGCGATGCATTGCAGCCCCCTCATAAAATTCGTATTGTTCGAGATCCTGGAGATCGTGGATCATCAGTTTTGGACCCGGCATCTTCTTGTGTAGACGACGCAGAGCAATGTCGCGAAAGTCCGTCGAAAACACATGGAGCGCTCCCTTGGATCGGACATCGAACTTCTTCGATCTTAGGCCTCGTATGGTGTTGTACGTGAGCATGTCTTGATAAATCTGCTTGGGTTGGCCGCCCATCATCGACCGTTTCGCCATCTGGAGCTTGCTGTCCGCCCGCCCAAACTCAGGATTGGCAGCTTTCATCCAGGTCCAAAGTCGCTCTACCATGAGCTCGTACCAATCTTCATGGAAGAACGTGAGCGGTCTTCTCCGCTCCTCTTGGTATGCCCCATCGGCAGTACTAGCACTCGACAACTCCTTGGCAGGATCGTGCTCGGGTGCAGGAGCGCTCGCTACGACCGCTGGCTCACGAAGACCCGAGGCGAGATCGCTCGCAGCGAGCAGCGCAATAGACACAAAGAAGACGAAGCAGTAGACGGACCTCATGGCCCACGTTGACGACGTCCAAGCGGGTCAAGAGCAATGAGTGAGGCGCAAAATGATAAGTGAGACAATGGCGAGTACAGTGTGGTGGCCCAGTAGAGACTTATTGGGCTGCAGCTGCTGGAAAGGCTGCTCGGTATCAGATGATGGCTAGGCGATATCCAGACTCGTGCGCGTAATCATCATAATATTGGGTGGTAATGTCTTTGCTTCAGTAAGTGTGGAGAAGATTGCGGGTGTAGAAAAAAGCAGACTGTTGTCTTACGGAACCTGTTTATGGGTGACTCCTCACAACGATCGACGGACCCGATGCTTGGGTAAGACACGACGCTGAGTCATCCTTTCGAATGTCCACAGTCCATCTCAATGAGGCACATGCAGTCACGGCCAATTTCACTGCTCTGGTTTCTCAGTCATTGCAGCCACAAACACCACACCTTAAGAGAGGTTTATACACGCCGACAGACACTCAAATCAGTGTCTTTCGCTCGACCTGAGGCTTCCGTGAGGCTCGAAATCCGATCCGGCTCCAGCCTGCGGCAGATTTGCGCCGAAGTAAATTAGCTGATTGTTGAGCGGCGCGCATTTGGGCGTATTCGTGGAGGTACTGTTAAGCATGACTTTCCAGACCACCGCCGCTTCGTGTGCCTGTTCAACGCACTAGCGCCGTATCTCTTTTGCAATAACGTCACCTGTGTATGATTTTGTTTCCATTGCACGCCGCCTTTGTCAAGAATATTGAGGCGTATCTGTTGGGTAGACGCTCACTCGGTAGACACTCAAAGCTCCAAAATTGTAAGCACATGCCCCGCCGACGACAATGGGTTGGTGGTAACCCAGCGAAAGAAAACTGGCTACGACACTGGATTCATCACAGGGCCAAGTAGCAGACTTGGCCCCTTCTGAACCAGAAAAATTGATGATGGGTGCTGGCTACGAGAACCTTAATGGATGGTGTCCCATATAAAAAGAGCACCGAGGAAGAGATTGTGTGATGCTAAAACTCCGAAGATATGCCCACAAGAAGAGCAGGTGCGCCACGACTTCTGGTAGCAGGACGCTCTTGACTTACGGTACAAGTTGTCATTCGTCTAACGATGCTCGACTGGTGTGACCTTGGCACGTTGCGATTGAGCAGTATTGATCGAAGAAGCTGTGCCATTCGTAGAGAATGCATTGTCTTCGTACAGCGCTGTGAGCAGCTGCAGCACGTCGCTTTTTTGCAAACGCAGAAACAAGAACATCACTACGTCACTGAAGCATGATTCTATGTCCTCATTTGCTAGGTTCTACGTCTTGACACGTCATTGCAGCTTGACTGTATTGCAAAGTGTCGCTACTTCTACCCCATGCAGCTGATATCACCGCTAGTGACGATCCGTGACGCTACACAGAACTTGAGCTGTTTGCTAGCGTATACTTTTGCCGTCCGGAGAATGCGATTGACCTAGGATCTTGTGCCCTGATGTACCCGAATCTAATCTGGTCAAAATCGTCCGACATCCAGCGCATTCTTTTCGCCATCGACAATCTTGCGAAGGCATCAATGGAACATGTAAGCGTCAAGTGTGACTGACATGGTAGCATCCACTTTTAGGCGCACTGTTTCTTGCGCTTGTTTAGGAGTAATTCTGCGACACAGTACTCAGGGACAATTCTAGCTTTGAAGAGAACATGTCTACAAGGTTCCCAAGAGCTCGTCGGTCTTTTCGTTTTGCCTCTTGTTTAGCTGCCATTGGGACGCACCCGTCTGGTTGATTTTCTTATTGCACCTTGTCGCACATGCATTTAGCCTGAACATATCAAGGCAAAAAGAAACATTGTTTACCACATGACTAATCGCGACAACGAGTACCGCTTTTCTGGTAGTCTGTAGCGATTGTAGGTACCGTTTAGTTTTACTTTCGTCAGCATAATGTGAAGTGGTGCTTGTCTAGATGCATTGACCCAAAAGATCAGTCGTGTGTCTGCCACGAAAAGGTGCGTGTATCCAAGCACGTGTACCCTGGTAACCTTTTATGACGAACGCGATCCCGTCATGAAACTTGCTGTCAACAATTTCTGCTGCGTATGTCCTACGCAGGCGTTCGTACCGTGGTTTGTTGCGTGCTTCACGACAACAGATATGAAAACAACGTCTATCTGTCAATGATTCGATGTAGCGACGTCATGGCAAATGTAGTAGGGCAGAGGACGCAGCAGGATACACAACTCAAAGGCTACAAGTTCGTTCTTATCGCATTATCACGTTTCGCTCGATAAACTACAGTAACACGGCAGGGTCATGTGCCGCGGTTGCTTTGTCCTCGGCAATCTTTCTCTGCTCTCCAACTGAGGCGGTGTCAACATTGTGCTGCGCAATTTGTACACCGTGTCCCCTGCTACACCATATTTGTCGAAGTATGTGCAGCTAAGGTATTGCGTCGTACGCTACGTAATGATGACGCGGAACCGACATCTTCAGAGCCGAGTGCACTGTACACGTCGCGTGTGCACCGTCCAAAGAACGAATGGACGATAAGCACAAGAGGTCTACGTGCTTGTTGCAGCACTTTTGCCGTAATAATATTCGTAGAATAGCTCCATCATGGGTGGCTTTACGTAATGAAAGCTGACCGAATCTGGCGCGCAGCATTTATCTCCATTCTGCCATCCAATTCCATTGTGATCCGAGAACCAATTGTTCTCTTGATAAATCGACGTGAACGTTTTGTGGTCGAACGCTTCTTCGTCATGTGGTTTCGTGTACACTTCCTTCGGGTCATACTGGTGAAACCGCTCCCTCTTCTCACTGTCTCGCGTGTCCAGCAAACTCACTCCTAAATGTCGCATGCAGAACGAAATCGCCCAGTCATCGGGAACCACGTCGTTCGGTAAGCAGTAAGGTTCGTCAAAGTTGGCTTCCAGCGTCTTCACGTACGCCCAATTCATCGCATAGCCACCTCCTCCTGGAGTGTAAATCAGCCCGCCTTTGGCCCTCGTTTCGTCGCGTACTTTTAGCATGGCTGCCACGTGCTCGGGATCGTAGTCCTCGAAAGGTTCAAACAGACGCTGCATCTCCCACCATTGCAGCGTCATGCGATGTCCCAATAGTACAGGCTCTCGCTTTGCAAGTGCTTGGATCGGTGGCGACGTGAGGTACGCTTTCAGATTCTCCATGAGCACAAACGTATCGTCGTCGCACTTGAAGATCCAGTCATAGTCTTCTTCTTTGTACTCCCGAACCAAAAGCCGCACGATCTCCCGGTGCTTCTGCCACAGCATATCGTGCGACGGCGGTGCAACGATTTTCACGGTCGGCACGCTCATGTCTTCCACGTCGCTCATAAAGAGCAACTTGTCGCATTTCGTGCCCCACGTGCGCTTGATCGCGTGCAGGCGCGCGTCGTGGTTGGCGTGGTAGGTGTTGACCCAGCAGAGCACTCGCGTCTGGGCGGCTTCGGGCGACACCGCGGACACATTCACGAGCTGCATGGCAAAGACATTGCCCCCTAATTGCTCGAGAAGCTGCGGACTCGGGCCGAGAGCAGCGGGGAGAGGGACAGTAGCGGCAGTAGCGAGCAGCACGAGGAGGAGGAGGAGCAGGAGGAGCGCTGAGGCCATTGATGGAGTCGGTCAAACAATGTGGCAAAGTGAGCTGCTGACTTCTGCGCTGGTAGGGTTTGGGTACCTGTAGTACTTGATACGACAGCGCAGTCCGAACGAAACGGATGTGAGGGGGAACAGGTGTGCGGTTCGGTGAAGAGCTCATTCGCAGTAAACGATGTTCGCAATAAACGTTTAATATCGCCGAACAGTAGTGCAACGTACATGTGCACAGGTCATTTTGATGACAGTTGATGCAAAGGAGAACGATGGGGTGCGATGGAGGAAGAGGACGATGGGACGACGGGACGACACGACGGGACGATGGGACTATGGGACGATGGCTTTTTCGATGGAGAGCTAGCTCGCCGCGAGAGGCAGGTCGTTTGCAAGCAAAGGGTGTGTGTGCCGGTAGCGACTGTGGTGGCTTGCGCGCATTGACCCGATATGGACACGAAACAGTCAGTGATAGATGAACGATGTGGAAGTGTTTTTTTCCCCTTTTTTTTTTGTGTTTTTTTGGTTTTTTTTTTTTCGTGTTGTTTTTGGTATTACTTCTTCATCCACAAGAGTTCTGCTCCCATTCCCCTCTCTCCTTTTTGTTTTAAAAGAGAGCTCGTTCCCCCACCTACCGTCCCCTCTTTCTGGAGGGGTGACGTTCGCCCATCGCTTCGCTATCCGTTGCCACTAGTGGGGCGTCCAGTCGCTTTCGGCCATCGAAACAACTCTCTCTCTCTCTGCATATTCACATCCACATCCACTTCAACTTCAGTGACCACCAACTCGCTCGTTTGACTATCGTCACAATCGCTGTACAACTCCGTACATTCGTACCACAATCCAGCCACCCTCGCACCACATGGCCACGCCGCAAAGCCCACGCAAAATGGCGTCGCCGTCGCCGCCGACTACGCAGCGCCAGACGTTTTACATTCAACTCGACAGCAACGTACCGGCGGAGATCAACTTCAAGCAGCTTGTGGTCCAAAACGCACGTCCAGTCGAGCTCTCTTTGTCCAGCGCGAGTCCTGCAACCCCAACGTCTCCGTCGGTGTCAGGAACAGCGAACCCCGAGGCCGTGCCGTCTACGACGCGTCCACAGCGCTTTAACATCATTGAATACCTCGAGAAACGCTATGGAAGTGGTGCTGTGCTGCACGATAGGGACGACAAGGCCAGCGGCAGGGGCGACAGCTTTGACCGTCGAGACGACGACGATCTGTACGACTCGGAGGACTCGTTCATCGACGATGCCGAGCTGCAGCAGCACATTGAGGACGTGCGGGACCATAGCAAAGTCAAGACAAAGCACGCTGGCTTTTTCGTGAATGCAGGCGAGGAGATTGAGACGCTGGAGAAGGAGGAAGACGACGAGGACGACCCGGACTGTGGTGGTGGCGGCGGAGAGCACAAGACCAAGCGAGGCAAGAAGAAGCGGACCGTGCATGGAGCGCTGCGGTCGTTCTTAGAAGAGCTGCCAGAGGGCGTGAGTGACTGGCAGCCGGACGAAGAGACGGTGAAGCGACTGGAGGTGCTACGCACGGCCGTGCAGGAGTGTGAGTGGCAGCTGTAGCAGGCAATCGAGCACGGAAACGAGCCTTTTGTCGTGGAGGTGCTGACAGTGACGTTGTGTGTTGCTGTTCTCCTTCCGCGGCTGGGTTGGGCCTTGTGTGTAGTGGCAGAGACAGCGCCGATTCCCAAGGTGTTTCCGAGATCACTGGATGGACCGCTGCGGGCCGTCGATAAGCTCGTGGTGGACGCTCATCCGAACAAGTGGCGAGTGACGGGATACTTTGCGACGCTTATGACGTTCTTGCCGTACACGAAGCAGTACTTGAAGGTTCGTGGATATGTATTGTACCAAAGGGTGGTTGCGTACTTGTCTGGGCCATTGGGTTGAGTGATTGACTTTGATGACGTGTTGTTGCAGTCGAACATGCTGAGACTGGAAGCGCGAGATGTCGCGAAGAACGAGAGGGAGAAATTGGATGGTGCTTTTGAGACGCTGGCTGAGCTTGTCGTGGCGTACGGAACGCGAGCTGCAGTAGAGCCAGTGGATGTGGTGATGGCAGGTGTGCTCGAGTTTACAACGAAAAGGAATGATGGTGGACGATAGCATGGGCTGAGCGCTTTTTGTTGTTGCTGTTGTTGCAGACATTGCAGTGGACAAAGAATTTGGCGCAAAGCTACATGGAGTGCTTGAGCTTCAGGATGAATGGGTCGCAAAAGAAAATGACTATCGGTGCGATCACATGGTTCTTCGTGTGCTCGGCTTCAGCATTGATGTCTGTCTCTTGATGTGTAGGCAAATGCTGAAGACCGAGGATAAGAAGCACATGATGGAGCCAGACTATAAGCCCCTTAACCATCGCCAGGAGCGTAATCGAATGTTTAACCGGGTAAGGTCGTGTTTTACGATGTGGCACTTCGTGGTGCACAAGCAAACGTGAGTGTGTGTTTGTGTGCGTGCTTTTCCGCAGGTTCTCGCACTATTTCCTTCTGGTCTAACTGATCTGCAAACACTGCGCGCCTTGAACAAAGCCGCCAAGGCGAAGGTACCCAAGAAGCCCGCACAGCCAAAGACGCTTGCCAAGGGTACTGTCCCAACAGCAAAGAAGAAATCGACCGAGCCAACTATCGTGACAAATGCTTCCGCCAAACGATCGATAAAGCCCTTCAAGTCGCGCATGATGGACGATTGTCCACCTTTCGTAGAGGATGACTTCGAGGAGATAGAACAATGAGACAACAAAGCCACAAAGACAGAGCTACTGGAACGATACTGTTCTCGATTACTCGGCCTTGACGCGGTCGAACACAATGATCATCTCGCAGTGCGGTGTGTGAGGGAACATATCAACAGGGGCGGCGTGCACGGGCTCGAAGGCCTGACCCTGAAGGGCCTTGGAGCTGGGGCCACACAGCGTCATAGCATCTCGAACCAGCGACACAGTCGGGTTGCACGACACGTACACAATACGCTCTACCGGAGGGCAGGCACGAAGTGCACGGAGCACTTGATGGTGAAGACCAGCACGCGGCGGATCGACGATGGCCACGACACGGTTCAAGTGCATCTCGCTCTCATCGCGCTTCTTTTGCAGCAAGTCCTTCATCACAGCCTCAGCCTTTGAGTTGACAAAGCTCACGTTCTTCACGCCGTTGAGCTCTGCATTCACCGCAGCATCATCGGTCGCAGACTTGCAAATCTCAATTCCCACAACCTTCCCGACTCCCTCTGACGCACAAATGGCAATCGTGCCAGTGCCACAACAAACGTCGTAGAGCATAGTGTGCTCGTCCGCGTTCGCGTACTCCTTCACCAATGAGTACAACTTTTCGGCACCACGCGTGTTGACCTGAAAAAAGGCAGTCGGGGACACCGAGAAACGCATATCCAGCAGGTGCTCCTCGAGCGTTGTCTTGCCGAACACATGCTCTACCGGATCGTTATCCGACGGAGCCGACAGACCGCCGTACTCTTGCACGTAGACGGAAGTCACCTTGAACGGGTTGCTTTCATCGGTCAGCCGCTGCACGACCAGGTCTTTGATCGCAGCCCGCTGATCAGGCGTTTGGTCGGTCGGGTTCACTTGCACCATGATCATAAGTTCACCCGTGCTGACACTCTGACGGACCGTCAGCACGCGCCACACACCCGTCTTCGTCGTTACGCTATACACGGGAATGTCCGACGTCTCCAAGATGGTTTGCATCACGGCACACACCGCCTTCATCTCACTTGGTACATTCACGCACAAATCCGGCTTGCTCACGACCACCGAACCTTCCCGAAAAAGACCGAGGCGAAACCCAACGCACGGCTGATCTTCACTGTCGAAGCCAAAGCTAAACTCACACTTGTTGCGGTAGCCTTCGGTCACCGGGGAAGCACAGATCGAATTAATAGGGCAGCACAAGCCCTTATGGCTCGCGAAGCCGGTGAAGCTTGCTCCCTTCAAGTTCGGTGGCAAGGGCACACTCGCCTTTACTATGCCATCTTCTCGCACAAAATGAACAGCTTCGGAAGCTAGGAGTACAATGTGGGTGTTGTGGGATGAAATTCCGAGGCACTGAGGCATTGGCGTGACGCATGTTTCAAAATGTAATGCCTCCAGCGCAGTGGCATCAAGTGGGGCACGCGACCAAGATGCATCCTTGGCCAGAGCTGGGCTGTGCGCATATAAAAAGCCGTTGTGGAGGCCAATAAGGGTCGCACCCGGCACTTCACCCAGCTTCTTCCATTCGCCCGATGCAAATCTGCCCGTGCCCTCTTGTTTGTAAATCGTGCCATCGCTACCACAGCCTAGCAACGAGCCGCGCAACGAAGCCAGCGATGTAAGGAGCACTCCATCCGGCCCACCACAGATCTTTTGCCACGACAGTTCATCGGTCGATGCCAAGTCTGGTTTGAGAGCGTACACCATATTATCCGTCTTGACGCCCACCAGATCGCTGCCGAATGATGTGATAGCCACCACATCGACAGCATCTGTTACGCGCGTCCACGGAGATTCTACGTCTCCTTCGTGTGGGCGTGAGTACAGCACGTGGTTGGCCACGACATAGAGCGATCCATGACTAACGAGCCATTTGGGGACCGAAACCGCGTACTGTGGCTTGTCGTCGTCAGTGTACTCCTCGGCCACCTCCACCTCTTTTGTCTGCTCCTGCTCCGTCCCCTCCTTCTTCTCCACTCGTTGTTTCGTCGCCTGTCGCTGCTTCTTCTTCGCAACATTGCGTTGGTCCTGCAGTACGCGCTTCTCTTTCTTGCCAAACTCCTTTCGCGTCTGACGTACAATCTTCACCAACACCTTCTTCATCTCAGTCTCCTTGCGTTCCAGCTGCTCCATGTACGGCACATTGGCCCACGGCGTCACCACGTCACGCACGTCACGTGCAGATACGCTCTCCTTCTGTTGGTCTACGAGCTCGTCCTCATGACCCCCTTCAGTGCAGCTGTTCCGTGTCCGGATGGGCTTCATACTTCGCTTGGGCAGAGCGTCTTTCACCTCCAGTGGCTCTCCGTGCCAGTCAATTGCCTGCAGCTTCGGCACAGCTTCCGCGCGCTCTTCTTTCGACCGAAAGTGCACAAAGCCAAAGGACAATTGCCGCGCTTTTTGCACCTTGACAAAGTCGATCCCTTTCGCCTGCAGCACGTCACTCAGCGCTTTCGAGTCCTTCCACTTGCCATAGTTCATCACAATTAGCTTACAGCTCTCTTCCTGTTCCTCGTCATGGCCTTTGTCTGCTACAGGAGGCGGCGATGAAAGCTCAGTCGCCTTCTCGCTGTTGTCCATGACGCGCGAACGGGAGCGAGCGACGTGAGGGTGAGCGATGAATCGGCTGGACAGCAGGAATCGGGTCGATGTGTGTTGTAGAATGAATACCCTGTCGAACTTGATTGAACACCGTCACGTGTGTGGGTTTTATGCTGCTGCTGCCTTCACGAGTGCGGACGGACGGATAGACAAGTGGGATGAATGCTTCAACAACATTTGGCGGTGGGTTTTTCACAAAACAAACGATGTCACGTAAGTTTCGTCGTTTCTAAGCACTGTTGTTTTGGGAACGGTTCATAGCATCGGAATAGTGGGAATTAAAGGTGTGACAAAAGCATGTCGCTGCTTACTGGGGTGTGGCACATGTAAACGATCGACGAAGGGAGTTGACTCCAGTAGAACACACTAGAGTGCTATTATGTCGACAGCCCTTCTCAGGTATCCTGTCTTACTAGTGAGAACATGGAGGTTTGTCAAACCCGCGGGTATATCTACGCCAAATATTCCACCGTTGTGGAGGCACATCAGGATCATACGTCAGGAGAAGCTCAATTAGGTATGTATCACAATCCTCTATTTACCTTTCATTCGCGTCGTTACGCAAATTTACTCGCTTCCTTTGCAAGAGCGCGAGCGTGAGGCTACGCGGTACCTGCCTACAATGCCATCGGTGTACGTAAGCTAAGACTGTCATCAGTACAAACGATGTACCCTCTTACACCTTCGCTCGGAATCGTGACGACGTCGCACCACGCTTTAGCAACAATGACACAGATCAATTAAACGCATCTTTTGCATATCTATACGGAATAGAGCAACATCTCATTGTGTTGCATATCGTACATCTGTGCGAAAAGGAAGACCATCTGCTTCAAGTGTTAGAACGAGCAAGGCTTCAAGTTGTAGCACAGGAAAGAGCAGTTAGATGAGATCGAATCGCTAAAATATAAGGTATGTCGAATTGTCAGCTCAAGAAGAGGCCCGGTCGGTGCTAAGTGCAATAGGAAGTTGGTTCTTACACAAACCAGCGAGACATGCAAGCTCAAGCGATTCTGTGCCAAAAACAGCGTGCAATTCTCAAAGCTAGGTAGGTTGAGCAGCGAATTCACTTTCAAAGTTTAAGCAACGTCTGAATAAGGAGTGATACCAATCTAATTACCATCATGCCCTACATTTGTCGTAGGACGCATTGCTACAGGTGAATAGCGGAGAAACGATTGCGCATTCTTGTAACAGGGCACACCCTTGCGTGAACTTAACGCAAGGGTATCGATGCCCCGACAGACGTACACAAGGCAAGCGAGGAAGCGTAGGTAAGGTAAAAGCAGAACTGTTATATTAATATAATTAAGTCTTTTAACTACTGTCTCTTTGTTTGACTTAACTTAATTATGCTGATATAACTGAGTGTATGGTGACGTCTCGTCACCACCCATTGCGCGCGTCTTGCGGCGATTGGTGGGTTGATATCATCACGATATCAACCAATGAACAGTCTCTTTGGTCGACCCTTCAATATCACCACTTCGGTGATATTGTTTAAAGAATATTCAACTTCATATTCTTTAGTGTCACTTTTCTTAAAGTGACAATTCCATGTAACGGGCTGCCCCGTTACATCATTCCCCCCTTAACTGATAGTCACTGTGTGACTATCGAAAATAATGGCGGCCACCCGTTGGTCACCATTGGGACAGGGAGCACTTGTTGGGTCAGTTCCGTTCATAACTCAACCTGACCTCGCATAGTTAACATGTCTATGCGGGGTGACTCAAGGCACACAGAGTCTGTGCCTGTGCCAGCTTCTGCGGCAGACGATTCGTCGTCTGCTGCTCGATCTTCACCTGCAGCAAGAGGTGCTCCAGGTGCACGCGGTACAGAACCGCGTGCGCATGATGACCCCGTCATTGAGGTCATCTACTCTGGCGAGTCAGACGTGTCTGACTCGGGTAATGTTGCAGAGGCGTCTCGATCACCGGCGACGCCTCAGTATTCGCCAAGGCCACTGCCGAACGATCGGACTCGTGAGTTGCAACATAGTCTGTTCGGCGGTGATGGCGAATCTGATGATGAGTATGTTTGCTCATCACCGCGATCAGCTCGTGCTCCTTCGCACGAGCGACTTGACGATGGTGCAAGCCATCGTCATACGACAACCGTGGAATCGACAAGAGTACCACTGTGAAGCGTGATGAGCTGAAGCCGTGGCGTTTGCCTGAACGGCTCATCAATGGCTTGTCTCACGAGACAAGCCAACACCATCGAATGCCCTTATTTGATGCGACTGAGCTTCACGGCTTGACTCCCAGCGCGAGCAACTTTCGCGCTGAAGAAGATTTTTATCTCGATGTCTTCCTTAGACATCGATGGTACAACAGCAACCAAAAGCGTGACAAAGCCTCGCTTTTGGATGCGTGGAACGCGTTCGTCCAAAACGTAAAGAATTTTGGACGAGAAGGGTGGCTCAAGAAACTTGAGGCGACACGCCTCAGGTTCGAAAAGCGAACGCCAAAAAGTGCCAGGTACCGGTTGCACTGTTTGTCGAGTGAGGCAGGCATTCCTTGCCTCACATGGGGAAACCCTTGTGCTAGTTGTGTCGACAACTCGCAGCGTGCACATAGGGACGTGTATTCCCTAAGTTCGCCCTGGGGAAGGGCACACATCTCGGAGGAGATGCGTGACGCGATTGCAAACTTGCAATCCGTCTACAAGCGCCTAGGGCGCTTGTTTACCGATGGGCCCGAGGACTCATCGGATGGGTCTCGCCATACTGGCGGACGAGACCTTCAACATCCATCGACAGTTGAGAGCGGGGCTCCCAGCTGTTCCAAGAGGGTGAATACCCCCGCCACTGGACGAGGTAGCTCTTCCTTGATCCTGAATCGTCACGGTGGTTCAAGATACGCTCCGCTAGAAAGCGTTGATCACCGTGAGCATCCACCAAAGGATGTGGTGGAGGAGGAAAGACCTCCTCTAGAGCCCCAGGCCCACCATCTCTACCCTTACGAGATATATCGCGCAATCAATGAATTGCGCGATGACTTGAAGCACGAGCGCGACCGGCGCTACGCTTTGACTGATACCGTTCGGAAGAACCGCAAGGATCACGAGGCTGATCGGGCGAGGGATCGCGCCGATTATGCCACGGCGCAGCTTTAGGTCATGCTGGCGACAGCTCGCGGGGAGATATCTTGGTTGAGTTCCGAGGTATCATATCTGCGCGACCAGACGGATCGTCTGGAGCGCGAACGCAAGAACTTGATGGATGTTCTTGAACGTGGGGGCTAACTTCACCGGAAGAAGAAGGCTAGTACTGACAGTACGGCCTGAGCCTCTCCACGTAAAACGTAGGATGCGTGCGCATCTTACGTGGCAATTCGAGTGTGTATGCATTGCCCTTGCGATGCAACACTCGAAATGGCCCAATGTACTTCGGCAGTAGTTTGCTACTGCCGACACTAGTGACTGCATGTCCAGTTAGGTTTACCGTTGACAGTAGTACTAGGTCGTTAACCTTAAATGAAAGAATATTTTCTCTTCCATTCTTGTCTGCGTTCCGTTTCTAAAGGTCCACCGCATTTGCGATGTAGTCCTGAACGAAACGGACTACCGCTTTTCGAGTCAGCAGGAAGTTCTCTGCTGACTCGTTGTTTTGTCTTTTAGTGCGCTTCGTGCGCACTGCTAAGAGATTGTTCTCTTCTTCAGCGAGGTCGTCTTCTTCCTCGCTGGAATAATCGTTGACGATGCTGAATATACCAGCATCGTCATCATCATCCGAGTCAATAATAGCGTCATCGCTATTATTGAGGTGATCTTCTTCATCGATGTCGACTTGATCGACATCGGCATCATATATGACGACGTTAGCGTCGACACGTGATGAGCAAGAGCTAAAACGGTTTTTGCTCGAGCAAGTCCCTCCCCCTTATCCAAGAGTCACACTCTAGAAGGGTGGGAACACGTGGATGGCGTAATCTATTCACGTAAAACGGTGTGTGCTGGGTTGAAGCATGCACCGAATTATTGATGGCGAATTCCACCATTGGAAGGAATTCGCTCCATCTCGAAAACGAGTGGACATATCCTCGAAGGATCTCTTCGAGGACACGGTTCGCACGCTCCTTCTGACCATCTGTTTCGGGATGGTTAGAAGTAGACATCTTCAATCGTGTTCCCAATGTGCGGAACACGGTTTGCCAAAATGCCGCCGTGAACCGAGGGTCACGGTCGGATACGAGTTCACGGGGTAACCCGTGGAGTCTTAAGACCGTGTCGAGAAAGACACGAGCACAACCTTGAGCCTTGATCGACTCAGGGACAGCAGCAAGATGCACCATCTTGCTGAACCGGTCAACAAACACAAGAATACCAGTATTCTTGTGAGCGTCTTCAGGAAACCCGAAGACGAAGTCCATCGAAACGGACTGCCAGCACTCTTTCGGAACACGCAGAGGCTGCAATGGCACACGGGATGAAGGACTAGGCTTCACCCGTTGACAAACCTCGCAAGCACGTATGTACTTGCGGACAAACTGATACTGGCTTGGCCAGTAAAAGTCTCGACTTACCGTGAGGTAAGTCTTTTCTCTACCACGATGCCCGCCTGTTGGGGCATCGTGACCATCATACATGATGCTTAAACGCAAATAATGATGAGTGGGGACAACAACACGAGGCGTGTCGTCGGCAAAGGTGTATAGTACATCAATTCGTTGCGTGTACTGTACCGATCCGATGAGGATCGGTACAAAGCTGGTAAATCCCTCATGATTTTACAGGATGGATTCACCAGATGATCCATCGATCGCAGAAGATCTATATCTTCCGCGTGTGCCTTTCGTACGTCGTCAAGTAAACTTGACGACGGGGCACTGACCGACAGTGTCGTAACAGTGGGCTTATCCTCACTGTTGATTTGTGCGTCCGGCTCGAAATCGGGCCGGCGCGAAAGCGCATCAGCGACGACATTGAGTCGTCCAGGTTTATACTCCACGGAGAAGTTATATTCCGCGAAGAAA